CAGGCGAAGGCAGTACAGATTTCGATGCCGCAAGCTTGTTCTTGATGCCCAGATGTTGGTGCGGTCACTTTCTGACCCCTTCCTTGGCGCTGCCTCATCATACGCGATCCTCCCCTTCATCCTCTTCCTCGTCTTTCTTTCATCTCCTTCCTTATCCTCCTCCCCCTCTTCCCCTATCACCCTGCCCAGAACTCAGGCGCCTTGTTTTTCTCACAGCGGTGGACCCCAGGCGGTCTGGACCCCCTGCCCCAGGACCGGCCTTTCTATCATGAGCCGTTCTTTTTGACAGCCCCGGGGCCTGGCCCGGCGCGGCCTCCCGGAGGGCGACAGTTGCCAAACATTGTCAGCCGCATCTTCCTGTGAGGGTTTTGTTCATTCATTCTTTTGCCGATCGGCACGGGCCCTCGCACCCCCCCCCTTCTTCCCCCCCCCTCATGGAGCAGTTCTTGGCTGTTTTTGTTGGCGCCTGCTTCGAGCAGGCGGAGTCTCCCCCCCGAGGCAGTACTGCCGCAAAAAGTCGCACGTAATGGAGGATGACGATTAATAAATGACCGGTGGTCGTGTTCACGCGGCGGCGCCCGGGATGACGATTAGAAAAAACCGGCCGCGGGCTGGAAAACTATTCTTTTAATCGTTCTCCTCCAGTCAGAAAATTGTGCAGAAACAGAAGAAAACTATTTTTTTAATCGTTCTCTCCCATTTGTTAAATTGATCGTCATCCCGCATAAGCAGAGGTCCAGTGCCAGACCCCTTCCCTTCCGGCCACTGTCGAAACGCCGAGCAAGAAAGCGCTCACCTTTGTAACGCGAGGGGGTGGGGGTATATCAATCCGATCGGCCGCGCGCAGCGGCGGTGTTTTTTTTCGGGGCGGCCCCTGGTTGGTCTTCAAGGCCTGCCAGCGAGGGTGACACAAAGGGCCCCTCGGATGGCCTCCTCGCCAAGGGTGCTTTGGCAGGACCCTCGGACTGTCTCTCTCTCTCTCTCTCGTTATTTCCCCAACCATCCTGTGGCGTTGGGTCCTGGTTTTGAAGAGACGGTCCCCGCGTTCTTCTTCTCTTCTTCCTCTCCTCCCTCCTCCACCACCACCACCACCACCATCATCATCATCATCATCATCAGCATCATCATCATCAGCATCAGCATCAGCATCAGCATCATCATCATCATCACCATTATCATCATCATCAGCATCCTCATCCTCATCATCATCATCCGTTTCAGCACACCCATTACACGCTTCGTGACCCCATAGGGAGCCCCACCGAAGGTCCCAGTGCTACCGTCCGCATGTGTCCTGCTAACCCAGTATAGCATGTCGTGGCCGTTTTTAAGAATCCCTTGCAAAACATTGGACGAAGTGCACACGCGCGCGTCGTCGCGCGCGCATGCCGAAATCTTTCAAACACCTTTGGTTTCGGAAGGATTTAAACATTTAGTGTCAGAAAAAACATACAAAGACACAGGGCTTCGCAACACGGATGTTCAAAAATAGTTTGCGCGCGCGTTCTTGGGAAGTCTTACGATGACCATTGGTTTTCAACATTTCCAGAAAATGCCACCAAACGGGTTTCGCGCGCGCATGTCGAAATCGTTCGAACGGCCTTGCGCGCGTCTGGGGGGGGCACGATCCGTGACAAATAACACCATGCGGGCCTCTCTCGCGCGTCTGCCGCGCGCGAGCATGTCGAACTCCTTCCAAAACCTGCATCACCGACGCGACGACGCCATCATCGTCGTCGGCGTGACCAGCATCGGCGCCGTCACTGGCTGCCCCTTCGTCGCTGTCAGCATCGTCGCCAGCGCCGCTACGATCATCTTCGTGTCTACCATTGTCGACGTGGCCATTCGCCGACTCGCATTAAAGTGCCCTCTGGGATGTGCCGAGCGGTCAGCGCCACCGTTTCCGCGTCGGTCGCGCCAAACTAGCTGGCCGCTGCGCGCGCGAGCATGCGCTGGCTAGCGCGACCGCAGAGATGCACCAGCAAACGCCAAGCACTCATCGCAACCGCCGCCGCCGCATGGGTGTTGCAAACCCAGTTGCGGGTGGGTGGGTGGGATGTTTGTGCGAGCAGTGGAGTGGACGACTCACTGCGAACCGCCCGCGCGCGTCCCACACCCTCAGTTTGGCATTTCGACATGCCCAGTGCAGCGCTTCGTGGCCCCATATGGAGCTTCACCGACGGCCCCAGTGCTACCGCCCGCGCGCGTTCCACCCACCTGGTGCAGCGCTTGGTGGCCCCATAGGGGGTTCCACCGAACGCCCCAGTGCGACCGCCCGCATGCGCCCCACACGCCCAATTTAGCATTTTAACCCACGTAGAACAGCGCCTTGTGGCCCCATAGGGAGCTTCGCCGACGGCCCCAGTGCTACCGCCCGCATGCGTTCCCCCCACCCAGTGCAGCGCGTGGTGGCCCCATAGGAAGCTTCACCGAAGAATATGTTCACTATTGCGGTACCCACAGCTGCATATGGTTGGGCCCTTCGCCGGGATATTTTTTTTGTTCTTTCTCGCTTTCTCGTTTTTTTTTTGTTTTTCCCTCTCTCTCTCTCTTTCTCTCCTTCTCCCTCTCCCTCAGTGGCGTGCGACCCGCGTCGCCCTCCTCCACTCCTTCCCCCCCTCGGCCCTTTTTGGCCCAGTGCCGATCAAGGGAGGAAAAACGCCCAGATAGGACACTTGGCCTTTACTGTGCGGCCCTGGGCGTTTGCCAGACAGCCCTGCCCTGTTCGATTCCTTTTTTTGGGGCGCGTTTACCACTTGACGTCGCGTGTCGAGGTGGTTATGATTCAGGAAGGAAAACACCACACTGACACAAGTAATCGCCGATTCCCAGAAAAATACGGGAAACCATTGGAAGTGGGGGGATGACGACAATCCAGAACATATGGAAAGATGTGGGGAATCCCAGGATCTGTGTGTACTCATTTGTGCCCCTAGGCCACTTGAGCTCTGGGGGGGGGGGATCTGTCGACTTCCGGTCTCGAGGGCGCGCCCCCCGGCGGGCCACCCAGACTTGCCTCTCGGGGCGGGCCCCTGTGGGTCCCTTCCCCGCCGTGCGCCTGCCTCCCTCGCCGCCGCTCGGGCGCCGCGCCGTGCACACGGTCCGCTTCCCATGCTTCGAGAGTTCGTTGCTTTCGGAGGTGGACAGACCTCCTACCCTGACGCGTCGATTCAGGAATTGGCCGTTTTTCGCTTCGCGAGAGGGCATCGCGGCCGTCATTGTTGCGTTCGCTTCCCATTTTTTCGAGAGTTCGTTGCTTTTGTTTGGGGCCATCTTTACGCTCAACCTTTCTGAGCCTTCTGTCGGGCCTGTCCCCCTACAGGGGGATTTTCGACGAAAGATAAAAAATACCCCAAGAATGCCCCAAAAAGGCCAAACAACTACTCAAACAATAGTCCCCAGACTATTTTTGGACTTTTTTGTATCTATTCTTGGGGTATTCTGTTTTTTCTCGTCGAAAATTCCCCTGTAGGGGGACAGGCCCGACTTAATCTTAGCCTCTCTGCACTTACACATGCGAATGCAGTCCGGCGACTGCAGACCCGAGGATATATCAACCTCGTGCGGTTGCGAGAAGATGCTCTGTAGGGGAAAAAATGTTTCTCTTGGGGGCCAAGATCCTTTCATTTCCTTTCATTTCGAACTGTTCTATCCTGGGCCTCTCCCTGGCCACCCGGGGGCCAGGAACAATTGGAAGCGAGCACGCTCAGAGACGAGCATGATCAGAAGTGGGCGACGCGTGCACCTCCCGCCATCCCTCGGAGCGTGAGAGCGTGCACGAGCCGAGACGTGCAGAGCTCCGCGCTGGAGCTCCTGCATCGGCGCTGGGTCTGCGCCTGCGGCGGATCTCTCCTCCTCTCGTCGCCGGCTCCTCCCTCGCCCTCGCACCCCCCCTCGTCGTCCCCCTCCTCGTCCCCCTCCTCCCCTCGGTCCCTCCTCCTCGTTCCCCCCCCCCCTCCACTTCAACCCCTCCTCGACCTCCTCCTCGTCCCCCGCCTCGTCCCCCTCCACAATCACGCGATAGGAATGCTACTCTCTACTCTCCCCTGGTGACGTCCTGGAAATATTCGGCACCCCTCCGCGTATGGTTTTTTACACAGGATACCCGGGAAACGGGTTTTCGCTTGGTTGTTTCTAAATGCTGTTCTCGCTGAAGCGCTGGCCCCATTTTCGGGCTACCGCTCGTTCCGAATCGTGCTCCCGCTGCAGCGCTGGCCTCATTTCCGCGCTTTCGCTCGTTCTGAATCGTGCTCCCGCTGCAGCGCTGGCGTCATTATTTCCCGCGCCATGCCATGGCATGGTTTTCGGTCCTTCCAACTGGTTTCCAAAATCTTGAAAATGGCCTCCCGAAACAACCATCGGAAGTGGGCGTCGATTCGTTATTTGTGGGGGTCGCAGAAGGCCCGCCCCCCTTACTTTGGGGCGTCGCCACGCCATGGTGTGTCAGGCTACGCGTCCTCCGAATCGTACTCCCGCTGCAGCGCTGGCCTCATTTCCGCGCTTCCGCTCGTTCCGAATCGTGCTCCCGCTGCAGCGCTGGCGTCATTATTTCTCGCGCCATGCCACGGCATGGCTTTCGGTCCTTCCAACTAGGCCTCAAAATCTAAAACATGGCCCCCCGGAAGAACCATCGGAAGTGGTTACACATTCGGTGCCGATTCGTTGATTTTTTTGGTCGCAGAAGCCCCCCCATTTCGGGGCGTCGCCACGCCATGCTATGTCAGGCTACGCGTTTATCTTCAACACCATGCTATGCCATGTAGTGCTATGCCCTGCTACGACATCCGACTGTGCGAATAGAGAGGAGATCTACGCCATGAGAAGGGATGGAAGGGAGGGGTAGGACGTCAGGTATGACACGAGCGCGCCTAGCTTGTCGTCCCCCCTCCTCGTCCCTCCCTCCTCGTCCCCCTCCTCGTGCCCCCCCCCCCTCCTCGTCCCCCTCCTCGTCCCCCTCCTCGTCCCCCTCCTCGTCCCTCTCCTCGTCCGCATCTTCCCCTACCCCGAGGTCTGGCCAGACGTGTTCAGCCTGCCCCCATCTGAGCTGCGCCGAGTGGGCGGCTTCCGCATCCGGAGGCCCCGGGCAGGGCGCCCGCTGCAGCCGGCATCAGCATCATCAACATCAGCATCATCATCAGCATCAACATCATCACCAGCATCAGCATCATCATAATCATACACATCATCATCATCATCATCATCATCATCATCATCATCATCATCATCATCATCATCATCATCATCATCATCATCATCATCATCATCAGCATGATCACCATCATCATCATCATCATCATCCTTATTATCATCATCATCATCATCTTCATCATCACCATCATCAGCAGCAGCATCATCCTCACCACCAACAGCATCATCATCATGATGAGTATCATCATCATCATCAGCAGCAGCAGCATCAGCATCAGCATCATTATCGGCATCATCACCATCATCATCATCATCACCACCACCATCATCATCATCAGTATCATCAGTATCATCATCATCATCATCATCATCATCATCATCATCATCATCATCATCCTTCGAGGGGAGGGGGAAGTGGAGGAGCACAGGGCAGGGGGGAGGGGGAGAGGGCAAGCTATGTGCGCTCGCGTCATATCTGACGTCCTACCCCTCCCTCCCATCCCTTACCATGACGCTGATTTTCTCTATCCGCGGACGCGTGTCGTAGCTGACCTGTGGCTCCGCGCGCGCGTGCGTAGTGGGTGGTGGTGCGCGTGCGTGCGTGCGTGTGTGCGTGGTTGTGGTTGTGGTTGTGGTTGTGGTTGTGGTTGTGGTTGTGGTGGTGGTGGTGGTGGTGGTGGTGGTGGTGGTGGTGGTGGTGGTGGTGGTGGTGGTGGTGGTGGTGGTGGTGGTGGTGGTGGTGGTGTGTGTGTGTGCGTGTGTGCGCGTGTGCTGTGGTGTGACGTGGTGTGGCGTCTTGGTGGTTTGGTGGTGGGCCAGGTGCGTGCGTGCGTGATGGCGGTGGTGGTGGTGGCGGTGGTGGTGGTGTGTGTGCGTGTGCGTGTGTGTGTGTGCGTGTGTGTGTGTGTGTGTGTGTGTGTGTGTGTGTGCGTGTGCGTGCGTGCGTGCGTGCGTGCGTGCGTGCGTGCGTGCGTGTGTGTCTGTGTGCGCGCGCGTGTGATGTGGTGTGACGCGGTGTAGCGTGGTGGTGGTGGGTGGGGTAGTGGGGTGGTGGTGGCGGTGCGCGTGCGTGCGTGCGTGCGTGCGTTGGTGGGTGGAAGTGGCGGTGGGCGGGGCGGGGCGCGGTGCGGTGGTGGCGGGCGGATGGGCGCGCGAGAAAGAGGCCCGCGCTGGGGCGAGAACGCCATCCTGAACGACGGAGGCAAAACAGCGATCCGAAAATGAGACCCACGCTGCGAGCACGATTCGGAACGAGCGGGCCCCGAAAATGAGGCCGACGCCTCAGCGAGAGCAGCATTTTGAAAAAAAAGTGCAGGCGAAAACCCACCTCCCGGGAATCCTGTATGTAAAAAAGCAGGACGCGGGGGGGGGGGCGAACACTCCCAGCACGTCATCAGGGGAAGAGGGGGAGTAGTATTCATATTGAGTAATTGTGGAGGGGCAGGGGCAGGTGGAGCGTGGGAGGAGGAGGAGGTGGAGAATGAGGAGGAGAAGGAGGCGGAGAAGGAGGCGGAGGCGGCGGCGGAGGAGGAGGAGGATGAAGAGGTGGAGGAGGAGGAAGAGGAGGAGGAGGCGGCGGCGGAGGCGGCGGCGGAGGAGGAGAAGAAGGAGGAAGAGGAGGAGGAGGATGAGGAGGAGGCGGCGGAGGAGGAGGAGAAGGAGGCGGAGGAGGAGGCGGAGGCGGAGGCGGAGGCGGAGGTGGAGGAGGAGGAGGAGGAGGAGGAGGATGAGGAGGTGGCGGAGGAGTCGGAGGAAAGAGCGGAGGAGGAGGAGGTGGACGAGCAGGGCGACGACGTGAAACGACGACGACGACGACGAGGACGGTGATAACGAGGGCAGCGACGACCGCGGCGATGGCAGCGGCAGCTGCCTCCGGCGAGGCGCGGCGTGGGGGAAATCGCCTTCGAAGGCGAGGTCGACTTTGCGTCGCAGCCTGGGCTGCTCGAGGACCTGACGGCCATCGTCCACCTCGAGATGGCCCCTGGCGGCCTTCGGCGGCCATCGGCGGCCATTGGCGGCCGTCGGCGGCCACTGGCTGCCATCGGTGGACCCGCCGCCCTTGACATTTGCGTCGTTGCTATTCTCGCGATCCTCGTCGTCGCCCTCATCGTTCTCATCCTCGTCCTCGTCCTCGTCGCCGCACTTGTCGTCGTCGTCCTCGTCCTCGTCGGTGTTCGTCCTCGTCGGCCGCGTCGTCGTCGTCGGCCCCCTGTTTCTCGTCCCCCCCCCTTTCACATCCTTCCTCGCACTCCTTCTCCCTCCGCCTCCTCCGCCCCCCCCAAAGGGTGAGGTGGTGCTCTACCCAGGGCGCGACAAGCCGCGGGAGGGCACTGGGCTTAACAGGCCGGCGACCGTCACGCTCTTCCAGTGCTTCCCCCCAGAGGTGGGGCAGTTCCCCGACGCCGAGAGCAAGGCTGGAATGTTGCCACCAGTAAGGCTTCGGGTTGCGCACAGACAGCTCCCCCAGGTTGTCCCTGCTCCCGAGGATTTCCAGGTGGCCCGCAAGACGGCCCAAAAGGCCCCCAAGACGGCCCCAAGATGCCCCCAAGACGGCCCCAAGATGGCCCCAGGACGGCCTCATAGACTTCTAAGACGGCACTGAAGCGCCAAAGAGGGACCCACGACTGCCCAAAGAGGGCCCCAAGACGGCCTCCAAAGGCCAAGAAGTCCTTGAGAGCCCCCCAGAAGCCTCCAAGAGGCCTCACCAGGCCCCCTGAGTAGCCCTGGCGGGTCTCAACACCCTCGCGCCGCCTCCGCAGCGGCCCCGGGGGCGCTCCGCGCCACCCCCGGCTTGTTGGGGCGCTGAGACTGCCCAGGACTGTTCGGGGGGCCCGTGGGGGCCAGCTGGGGCTGCTGGGGGGGGGGGGCGCGGAGGCCAGGCGGGGCTGCCTGGAGGTGACGTCTGTGCGCAACCCCAGGGCCTAGGGTTCACCAGTCATTCACCACCCTTCACACGCATGTGCACTTGTCTGTGTGCATCTGTGTGCGCACGGTCGGGAGCTCACGCTTCGCGTGCCGCGCGCGCGCGCGGGTTCTGGCCCACTTCGCCTCGGCGAGGCACGCCGGCCACGCCCCCGCTCCCAGGCGCCAGCGTCCCGAGCTTTCCCGTTCGCCCCGCCACCGCGGAGCGGAGGGAGACGCTACCCGCCTGCACGGCAGAGCGTGTTGCCGGGTCCGCCGCCGCGGCGACACTCTAAGCAAAAGTTTCTCGCCGTGTATATATACACACATAACTACACTCAAGGCTACAGTTGGCATTGACACTGGTCATGATACATACGCATGTATGTACGAATGCATGTAACATAGTTGTATTCATCGTGAGTGTGTATACGTATGCACCTGCGCATGTATATACATCTGTACAACAAAAACCAGAGCTACCCCGGCAAAGCAACCTAACAGCGATGTGTAGAAGCATAGCTGGAAACATTGCCTGTGGTATTCATGTAAGAGTGCTGTTGTAGAATTCTGGTGTTCTCGCAGTCGCATTCGGATTCGCAGTGGCAGTCGCAGTGGCAACATAGCGGCAGTCGCAGTGGCACTGCCAGTAGTTGCAGTAGCAATAGCTACACTAGCAGCAGCAACAGCAGCAGCAGTAATACTAACAGTAGTAGTAGCAGTAGAAGTAGTAGTGATGGTAGTAGTGGTAACAGTGAAGTAGTAGTTGTAGTGTGTGGAGTGAACGAGTAGGAGTAATGGGAGCAGTGGTAGTAGCAGTAGAAACACTGCGTTCGATAACGGTATCTCCAAATAAGATTTTTGTATACATGCACTGAGGTCTAAACAAGACAATGCTATCAACGGGTGTGATTCCAAACGAGACACTGCTATCAACGGGTTGAGCCTCAAACGACACACTTGCATCAATGAGTGTAGCTCCAAAACAGGCATTCCCATGAATGGATTTAGTGTGATGTCGTAGTGGTAGTCGTAGTAGTAATAGTAGTAGTAGTAGTAGTAGTAGTAATAGTAGTAGTAGTAGTAGTAGTAGTAGTCGTAGTAGTCGTAGTAGTAGTAGTCGTAGTAGTAGTAGTAGTAGTAGTAGTAGTAGTAGTAGTAGTAGTAGTAGTAGTAGTAGTAGTAGTAGTAGTAGTAGTAGTAGTAGTAGTAGTAGTAGTAGTAGTAGTAGTAGTAGTAGTAGTAGTAGTAGTATGGGCACGGACCCGTAAGACCTGAGTCTCCACCGGGGTGCTCGGCGAAGCCATTGATGATGATGGTGATGATGATGATGATGATGATGATGTGATGATTGAGGATGATGATGGGATGGTGACCGCGCTACTTGGATTTGTTATGTCCGTCTTTCTCGGCCTCCAACCAAATATTGGAAGACATCTCGCAAACGGAAGAGGAGCGCACTGAGGAGCGGCGTGTGAAGCGGACAGTCGGCAAAACTTGCAGGCTGAGAGGCACCGCAGAAACTCGGAGGCTGAGAAGCACCGCGGTCGCGCAGTCCTACTACTGCTGGAACTAGGGTTACAAGTACGCACGCCGAGAAGCACCGTGGACACGCGGGCTCGGATACTTCACCTCTCCCGCTTGTATTGCAGGAAATCGCGCCAATCCGGCGGCTGGCAAGTACCGAGGAGGCGCAGGCTGAGAAACACCGCGCGAGTGCAGGCTGAGAAGCACTACGCGAGCGCAGGCCATGGCATTGCGTGTCACATGAATGCAGGCTGAGATCAGCACAGCCCAGGGCCCGCAGTTCATGCAAAATGTCTTTGGGGATGCGGTCGCGATGGTCCGAGAAACGTTTGGCCAACTTGTTTTCGGCCCGTTCTTGTTCGGACGTTCCTTTATTTCGTTTCGGTATCCGGCCGAACTGCTTCGCGTGCTCGACGAGCGTTTGCAGAGGACCGCTCAATGCAGCGCGCTGAGGAGCAGCGCCGTTCCCTGCCGCAGGCTGAGGAGCACCGCTGCTCAATTCAGCAGGGTCAGGAGCACCACCGCCAGACCGAGAACTATCAGCATGTCCTGGCATTAAGGTGTGCGTTAGGCGCTGCGCAGTTCCTTTGGAAGGAAATCTTCGAAAGCAGGGCTGTAGCCAAGAAGGCTACGGGGGCGATGATGATGATGAAGATGATGCGTCTTAAAAGTTTGGGAAGTGAAAGAGCACGAAGTGGCGTACAGTTGGCACCGGGCGTTCAAAAAGTGGCCCGGGAATGGTGTTCTGGGAAGTCCAAGAGCACGAAGTGGCCTACAGTTGGCTCCGGGCATCCAAAATGTGGCCCAGGAGTGGTGTTTTGGGAAGTCCAAGAGCACGAAGTGGCCTACAGCTGGCTCCGGGCATCCAAAATGTGGCCCAGGAATGGCATTCTGGGAAGTCGAAGAGCACGGAGTGGCGTACAGTTGGTTCCGGGCATCCAAAATGTGGCCCGGGAGTGGGATTCTGGGAAGTCGAAGAGCACGAAGTGGCCTACAGTTGGCTCCGGGTATTCAAAATGTGGCCGGGGAGTGGAGTTCTGGGAGGTCGAAGAGCACGAAGTGTGCGACTGTTTGCTTAAAGCGAGCCCGGCCCTGAGCCGGGCCCTCGCTGTCCGGATGCCGCCCAGACCTCCCTTTTGAGTCATCAGATGCTCTCTTTTGACACCACTAGAAACCTAACAGTCTTCGCTGTTGGGTAAATATACACACCATGTCTGTGTGTAGTGACATCACATGCCGACACCGTGTCGGTCCGAGGCCTCTCGGATGTTCGCTGGGATCTCGTCAAGGCCTCTCGGGGGCCTCCTGAGAGGCAGTTTGGGGTCTCTGGGGGTATGTTGCGGGGCCGTTGGGCACCTTGTGGCCTCTTTGGGACCTCTTGGGGGCCTCGTGGGGCCTCGTGGGGGCCTCTTGGAGGTCTCTTGGGGCCAATTCGGGGGGCTCCTGGGCGCCTCGTGGGGCGGCGTGCTCCGATGCTCGGGTCGCGTTCCCCCTCCAGGGCCCCTCTGGAGGCCGTCTTGGCCGACTCTTGGGCCGCCTTGGGGCACTTTTGGGCCGTGCCAGGGCCCTTTTCGGGGCCTCAGGGGCCGTCTTGGGGCGGTCTCGGGAGCCTCGAAGTAGAGCGTCGGAAGCCCGAGAACGGGAGAGCCAAGCAAACTAGGAACACGCGACGGATAATATATAAATGTGGCCTCTCGGCGCTCGTTAGGAAGGAAGGCTCTTGGGGCTCTCTTGTGACGGCTTGAAGGCCTCCCGTGCCGTCTGGAGCCCATCGTGAGCGTCCTGGACCGCCTGGGAGAGTTCTTGTGGGTCCTTTGGCCCGTCTTAGGCCACTCTTGGGCCCCGAGAAAGTCATGCGACAGCACTCTGGGAGCACCGAGGGCCATGCGAGAAGCTCCGCAAGATTTGAGCATTGGAGGCCCTGGCCCCTCAAATCATCCCCAGGATTCAGGGGTGAGGCTCCAGGGGATTGAGCAGTAGATCTGAGGACACTCCGACTCGTGCTTCGAGGGCACACATCATCGTCGTCGTCATCATCATCATCAGCGTCATCAGGATCATCATCATGATCAGTATCACCATCATCGTCAGCATCAGTATCACCATGATCATTATCATCATCGCCGTTAGCATCATCGTCATCATCGTCGTCGTTGTCGTCGTCATTATCATTGCTATCAGCATCATCAGCATCAGCATCAGCATCAGCAGCATCATCAGCATCATCATCGTCATCATCACCATCTTCCTCGCCATGATCACCACAATCAGCATCAGCATCGACATCATCATCGTAATCATCGCCACAACCATCAGAATCATCACCACCCTCATCGGTCTCAACATCATTAGCACTACGATCATTATCGTTATTGGCATGCCTATCATCATGATTGTCAACATCATCATCATCATCGTCGTTTCGTCGTCACCACCATCCGCACCATCATCATCAGCATCATCGTCATCCGCATCATCGTCACGATCACCATCAACAGCGTCCTCATAATCAGACCCATCATAGTCAGCAGCGTCAACATCACCACCACCATCATCAGCATCGTCATCATCACCATCATCATTAATATCATGAGTATCTCTGTCATCCATATCATCACCACCATCAACAGCTTCAGCATCAGCATCAGCATCATCATCTTCACTACCACCATCATCATCCTTATTACCACTATCACGATCAGTACCATAATCAGTGCCATTGCAATCGTCGTAACCATCACCATGATTAATATCATCATAACCTTCAGCAGCATTGTCACCATCATCATCAGTATCGCCATCATCACCATAATCATCGTCACCACAATTGCACTTATTATCAACATCAGCATCAACATCAGCAGCACGACCATCGTCACCACCTTCATCAGCATCAGCAGCATCATCATCGTCAATATCATCAATATGGCTGCCATTGCCATCATCACCATTGTCATCCGCATCATCACCACCATCACCATAGTCAACATTATCATCGTTATCATGACCATCATCATACTACTCATCATCATCATCGCCTTCAGCATCATCATCAACATCATCACCACAACCATCAGCATGATTGGCATTACCACCATCATTATCATTAGCATTGCCAGCATCCTCATCATCGTCACCAACATCATCATCATCAACATCAGCACTATCAGTATTCTGACTTTTACCGTCATCATCGTCATCATACTCTAAGTCTTATCATCATCAACACATCAGCATCAACATCAGCAGCGCCATATTCATCACAACCACCATTATCATCATAGTCATTTTTATTTTCATTACCATGCGCTATCATGGTCATTGGCATCTTCGCCACCACCATCATCACCACCATCATTGTAATCACCATACTCATAATCATCATCATGTTCTTCCTCCTCATCATGTGCATCACCTTTAGCATACACGTTACCATTTTGATTTGTCGTCAGCATCACCATCAACATCATCATCATCATAATCACCATTAGCATCAGCATCTGCATCAACAGCATCATTGTCATCAGTACCACCACCACCATCACCACCACCACCATCATCATCATTATCATCATCGTCATCATGTTGGTCATCATCATCATCATCACCATCATCATCATCATCAGCATCGTCGTCGTCATCGTCACCATCAGCATCATCACCCTCCTGCTCCTCATCGTCGTCATCAGCACAATCCTAAGTGTCATCTTACTCATGACAAGCCGTCCGCATCTCCTGGCTCGGCCCCGCTCCCCTGCTCTCACCGCCACCCCCATGTAGCGGCACGGGCGCTCTCTGGAGTGGATTGGGCGCCGCGTAATGGGGGGGTCATAAATGGGGGGGTGTCGCGGGTGGTCGAAAAGGTACCCAAACAGTACCCAAACGAGCCCCCTGGGGCTCCGGAGGGGCTCGAAAGGGGCACGAAAGGGGACCTTTTCTGACCCCTCCATTTGTGACCCCCCCATTACGCCACGCCCGAGGGGAGGCCGCGACAGCGGCCCAGTTCCGACCCGGCCGGTCCGCGACGGCGGCCTCCGACGAGGTGCAGCCGCGGCTCCGGCGAGGGGCTCCCTCGATGTCTGGGACGTGCGGCGCCCACTTTGTGGCCGAGAGGCCCGCCGTGGCCGGCAGCGCCCCTCGTCCTCCTCCTCCTCCTCGGTCCTCCTACTCCTCGATCCTCCCCCTCGATCCTCCTCCTCCTCCTCCTCCTCCTCCTCCTCTTCCTCCTCCTCCTCCTCCTCCTCCTTCTCCTCTCCTCCTCCTCGATCCTCCTCCTCCTCGTCCTCCTCCTCCTCGATCCTCCTCCTCCTTCTCCTCCTCCTCCTCCTCCTCCCTCCTCCTCCTCCTCCTCCTTCTCCTCCTCCTCCTCCTCCTCCTCCTCCCGCGCGTCGTTCCTCGTCGTTCCTCGTTCGGCGTCGCTCCTCGGGGGTGGCGCGACGGTGGTGCGGCAGGCTCGCGTCGTGTCGACGCGGTGGCGACGCCGGCGCGGGCGCTCGAGGCTGAACGCCGCCTGCGGCCCAGAGTCGGCCGGTGTCGAGGGATCCGCGCCATCGGACAGCCGCGGTCGTTCTCGGGGCTGAGCGGTGCGCGCGGGCGTCGCGCGCCAGCGTCGCGGCTCGAAGCTGTCGCACGCCTGCGGCCGCTCGCCCTCGAGGCGCGCTACCGCGGCCGCATCGCCCAGATGACGGAGGAGAAGGTCAGCATCTGTTATCCGACCCCCATCCCCATCCCCATCCCCTTCGAGACCCCCACCAAATTACCCCCCCAGTTGGGGATACACCCCTCGAAACCCGACGGGAACGACCTATGTCCCCATCTAGGGGGGTAAATCGGCCAGCGGGGCCCAGGCCATGCCGCTGGGGATGGGTCGGGCCGGACGAAAGGGGGGGATAGGGAAAGAGGGGGGTACGAAATCTGCTGCATGCAGCTGGTTTCGGCCCCACCGAGGGCCCATTCCTCAATACATGGCCGCCTCTGGCGCCGGGGAAATCAGCTACGTGAGCTGATTATCAAACCCCTCCTTTGCTATCCCCCCCCTTTCGCCCAGCCCGAATGTCTGGACGCCCGAGATGGGCACGGAAAGAATGGGTACAATGCCCAACGGCAGTTCCTGTCCTTTTTGACCAGGGCTCGCTGTCCACGCCGCCGCGGCCTGTGTCCGCTCGAGACAAGAGGCCGCCTGCCCAACAGCGGCCGCTGCTGGTTTGGGACAACGTTTGTTGGTGGGCACTGTGCCCATTCTTTCCGTGCCCCTTGCGGGCGTCCAAAGAGTGGGTCAGAGCCCCGAGTCATCAGGGGTAACTCGGGTCAGGGATAACTCGGGTTCGTTTTTCGGGAATCCAAGCCCGAGTTATCCCGGACCCGAGTTACCCCGGATAACTCGGGCGTCCAGAGCCCCGAATCATCAGGGGTAACTCGGGCGTCCAGAGTGGGGGTCGGTGGAACGATGCTCGGAAAAGGGGGCGCACTTTGTGGACTACGACTGCGACACGGGCACGTGGCGCTTCCAGGTGGACCACTTCTGAGCCGGGCGGCGCCCGAGGGCCCCCGCGGCCGGCCGCTCGGCTCTGGCCGGGGCGTCGGCGTGCAAAGCGTTGGGGGAGGGGGAGGGGGTCCTCCTCGTCCACCACCACCACACGTTGGAGAGGGAGGGGGTCCTCCTCGTCCTCCTCCTCCTCCTTCTCCTCGTCCTCCTCCTCCTTCTCCTCCTCCTCCTCCTCCTCCTCCTCCTCCTCCTCCTCTTCGGCCTCCTCCTCCTCCTCCTCCTCCTCCTCCTCCTCCTCCTCCTCCTCCCCTTCGGCCTCGGCCTCCTCCTCCTCCTCCTCCAACTTCTGGTGGTGGTGGTGGAAAGCAGGCCCATCACAAAGGTTCCCGTTGCGCGGCGCAGCATCCTCTCGCCGGGCTGGCCTTCGGTGCGGGCCCACAGGGGCCCCTCCAGCTCCGTTCGCGCGCTCTTGGAGCTGCTCGTTCGACCGGCCCCCGGAAGCCGCGCACACCAGAGGTCAATCCTGCCTGCAGCGCTGAGGTGAGGACCGCACTGGGCTCAGGAGCATTTTTTTATGGGGGGGAGGAGGTACCCATCAGTCGTTGAGAGTAGGTATTTCTGGAGTCTCAGACTCCAATCTACGTTTGAAGCGCCTTCCTACTTCACCGACCGAGTGGCTTCACCTTGTCCGTCCTCTTCATGAAGCGGGCGGGCACCCCATCCACTTTCGACGCCTTCCTGCTTCATGTGTCTACAGTGCCGTTTTTAATACGTGCTCTGCGTGCGGATGATGTAATAAAACTGCAGGGATTCAGCATTAAACACAACGACGAGTTCATGCATAACTTGATTCATACACTAATCATATATTAAAATCCTAAATGTTTGAAACGCTATGTGTTAAAAACTGCCCTGTACCTACCTCTTCCGACCGATGGGTAGAATTCTTTCGATTCCGTCCGGGGAGCCCGTTCGTGGCCGAGGCTCGCTGGGGTGCACTGTGGCGGATCGGCGGCGCCGCCGCTCCGGCTCGACTCCGACTCCGTGCCGATGCGGTCCGACACGATGCACGCGCCGGTCCGATCCGATTGTGAAGGCCTCACGGCCAGCGCCGCCGACCCTGGAAGACATCGACGGCGACCAGGAGGGGGAGGAGGAGGAGCAGGAGGAGCTGGAGGAGGGGGAGGAGGAGGAGGAGGAGGCGGAGGAGCAGGAGGAGGAGGAGGAGGAGGAGGCGGAGACAAGGAGGAGGAGGAGGAGGAGAAGGAGGAGGAAAAGAACTCCCCCCCGGGACCCCCCCCCCCCTGGGGAGGAGGACCGGAGGCGACCGGCGTGGGAGGGGGGATTGGAGGGGGAGGAGGACCCCCAGGGACGGATGCGTAACGGGCGTATCTGACTCCCCTCCCCCCTTTGGGATTCCTCCCCACCTGGGGAGGAGGGAGGACGAGGACCAGCGCGCCGGAGAAGGATCGGCGTGGGGGAGGAGGATCCCCCAAAGGCGATGCGAATCTGACCCCCCCCCCTCTCCAGACCCCCCCTCCGCCGGGGAAAGGAGGAGGAGGAGGAGGAGGAGGAGGAGGAGGAGGAGGAGGAGGAGGAGAGGAGGAGGAGGGGGGAGGACGAGGACGAGGAAAGGACGAGGACGAGGACGAGGAGGAGGAGGAGGAGGAGGAGGAGGAGGAGAGGAGGAGGAGGAGGAGGAGGAGAGGGGGAGGAGGAGGAGGGAGGAGGAGGAGGAGGAGGAGGAGAGGGGAGGAGGAGTCTCACGCCACGGGTGGGGCGCCCAGCGGCCAGCGCAAGGAAGAGGAGGAGGGAGGGGGGGGGGCCACCGTATCTGAGGCGTGCAGCTGGTCTCGGCCCCGCCGCCGGGCACTCGCCCTCGATGCACGCTGCCAGGGGGTGCTCCCCCGTGCCCCGAGGCGCACGCACGGCACGCGAAGCGGCACGCACGGCACGAGCCTGCCTGGAGGGAAGGGGGGGGGTGCAGGAAGAGAGGGGGGGGGGGCTGCGCCGGAGAGGAAGGTTCAGGGGGGGGGGGGGGCGGTCCCGCCATTGGAGAGGCCTTGCGTGTCAATTCTTGCGTCGTTTGCGTCCCGCTCCACCCCCCCCTTGCAGAGCGCAGCTTGAGCAAGCTCAAGCCCACGCTCTCAGAAACTCACACGCCCGATCGGCGGATTGTCTGTGCGCGGTGATTTGCCAGACGACACCTTGTTGTGTTACATGCCGCGTTGCGGCTCTTGGCCTAGTTTTTGTCAAAGTTCCTAGTTTTGTTCTCTGCCCCGCCTCGGGGCTGCGATATCTACGCGACAACCTAGAATTGTCAATGTCATCTTGTTACAGATCAGAGTTTTTGTTGAACTCCCCGTGTTCAGGATGAACATCGGGTCCCAGGGAAGTGGCCGAGATCCCCAGGGGGGATTGCGTCACGAAAATAAGTCCGCTCGTTGAGTTTAGATGGCGCGGGTGTCGTGATAGAGACGCAGCAGCGGAGCCGAGCTTTGGGAGGTCCATGAGACGAGGCAGCTCAGAGCTGACCACCCATCGGCCGTCGTCGTCAAGCATCGTGCAAAACAGAAAAAAACAAACACGTACTGTCTATGATGAGTTGTCCATCTCCGATGCAAGGGCCTAGCATGCGCAGCATCCGCTCCAGCAACGAGGCTCCGTTCAGGTGGCTCAGCGTTTCTCTTACCGTGGGCATCGCCGGAAGGCGATTCGTTATGGTTGCAGTGTGGTTTGTCGTCTGGCAGTGGCGGCCAGTGCAGTGGCGGCAGGCTCTGGCGCTTCTCCGCCTGACGCTTCGGGCGCGGCCGTCTTGCCGGCCCAGACCCCGACGTCATGTTTTTTCCACAACGTCGACCCCCGAAGGTCTCGACCCATTCTCCTGGACCAGTTACTTCCTCCCGAGTCGTTGTTTGATGGCCCCGAGGGCCGGCAAGGGCCTCCACAGGCCGAGAATATGGAAAAACGTCCGTCCTGATGTTTTCGTTGCCCGATGGTCAAGCAGTTTTCCACTGCTTTCCATGGTTCTTGTCCCTGCCCGATGGGGGTCTGGGAGGGGGGAGGGGGGGGGCATATGGGCTTCCTTGAGATTGTGGGGCCTAGGAGGGCTGCGCGCCTCCCCACGGCCAGGCTCTCTGCCCCCTGGGGTGCCCCAGTGCGCCGCCCCCCCCCCCCCCCCTCCTCCTCCTCCTCCTCACCTCTCCCTTCCTCCTTCCTCCTCCCTCTCTCCTCCTCCTGCTCCTGCTCCTGCTCCTCCTCTCCTCCCTTCCTCCTCCTCCTCCTCCCTCCCCTCCTCCTCCTCTCCTCCTCCTCCTCCTCCTCCTCCTCCTCCTCCTCCTGCCCTCTCCTCCTCCCTCCTCCTCTCCCTCCTCCCCTCCCTCCTCCCTCCTCCTCCTCCTCCCTCCTTCTCCTCCTCCTCCTCCTCCTCCTCCTCCTCCTCCTCCTCCTCCCTCCTCCTTCCTCCTCCTCCTCCTCCTCCTCCTCCTCCTCCTCCTCCTCCCCTCCTCCTCCTCCTCCTCCCTCCTCCCTCCTCCTCCTCCTCCCTCCTCCTCCTCCCTCCCTCCTCCCTCCCTCCCTCCCCTCCCTCCTCCCTCTCTCCCTCCTCCTCCTCCCTCCTCCCTCCCCCCTCTCCCTCCTCCCTCCCCCCTCCTCCCTCCCCCTCTCCAGCCAGCCCTCCCTCCGACGGGCTCCCCCGGCCAACCGGCCGACGCCGACGCCGAGCAGGGGCCACCCGCGCAGGCCCGCCGCCGTCCCCAGCAGCACCGTCGTCGGCACTCGCTCCTCACGCTGCACCTCCGGGTGGCCTCCTCCTCCTCCTCCTCCTCCTCCTCCTCCTCCTCCTCCTCCTCCCCTCCTTCCTCCTCTCTCCTCCCCTCCCTCTCCCTCCTCCTCCTCCTCCTCCTCCTCCTCCTCCTCCTCGGCTCGGGGGTCACAGGACGGCGGCAGCGCGGAGCCCCCCGCCGCCCCCCGCCACCCCACATCGGTGCCGCTTCTGGTGCCCGGCGCGGGCTCGTCGCGGCCTCTGCGCGGATTCGACGCGGATGCGGCACGGATCCGGCGCGACCGGCACGGATTTTCGGCACGGGTTCGGCGCAGACAGGGCCGTGGCTGGACAGACAAGGTCCCCCGAGGATTTAGCTGCTCTGATGCGCGCGTTTTGAAACGTGACGCGTGCCGCGTTGAAAACGTCCGTGTTCGAGACGTCCGTTTTCAGTCTACGCAATGAGCTCCGCATCGATACGCTACGTGTTGCGTGTTGCGTATCGGGGCAGCTAAGCCGAGGAGACAACATCACGGGCCTGTCCCCCATGAAGAGAGATTTTCGACGAAAAATACAACATACCCGCAAACAGTCAAAGAAGATTTAAATCATAGCTTGGGGACCATTTTGGGGGCATTTGTGGTGTATGTTTGGGGTATTTGGGCCCTTATTGGGGCATTTCTGGGGTATTTTTTGTTAGTATTTGTTGGCCTTATTGGGGTATTTTGGGGGTATTTTTGTTCGTCGAAAATCCCCCTGTAGGGGGACACGCCCGACATAACCGTAGCCGTTTTGGGGTATTTTTAGAGTATTTTGGGGGTATTTTTGGGGTATTATTGGGGTATGTTTGGTGTATTCTTTCGTCGAAGATCCCCCTGTAGGGGGACACGCCCGACATAACCCTAGCCGCTTCGGCCCGATGGCGCCGCGCCGGGGCCCCGCGGGCGGGGCGGGCGCGGCCGCCCTCCGCGGGCGCCCCCCTCGCCAGCGCCCCCCCGCTCGGAGAGGGCCCTCCGCGGCCGCCGCCGCCTCCCTGCTGCTCGGGCTGCGCGCACGGGGTCGGCGGGTGGCGGCGCTCGGCGGCGCGCCGAGTCGGGGGAGAAAAAGATACGGATACGTGTTGTCCCCCTTCGTTTTCGGCCTTTCCTGGTCCTCCTGGGAAATCCTCGTTGTCACCGCTGGATTCGCCTCGAAATTCTGGTCAGAACGCACCCCAAGAGAGGTCCGGGGACAACACGTATCCGTATCTTTCCGCCCCCCAACCGAGGGGGGGAAGCCTCGGAGGCGGAGGAGGTGCCCACGCCGCTGCTCTTCCCTCGTCTTTTCCTTTTTGGGGGGGCCTCTGGGAGGTCCTCGTCGCCACCGCGGGATGCGCCCCGACATATCCTGGTCAGGGCGCACCCCGGGAGAGGTCCGGGGGGTAGCGGTATCGGTACACCGCTACAGTCAAAAACCCTAATAAGGACGCGCGACTTTGCTCAGGGTAATTACCCTCGCGTCCTTGCTCGTCCTTGCAATTGCGTCCTTGGGGTTTTCGTCGTCCGCCGCCCCAGAAAATCCCAACTTCGGCTTCCAAGGGTCTTGCGTCCTTACCGCGCGTCCTTATTAGAGTTTTTGACTGTACTCTTCCATCGTTTTCCCCTTTTTGTTGGGCCTCTGGGAGGCCCTCGTCGCCACCGCTGGAGTCGCCCCGACATATCCTGGTCAGGGCGCTCCCCGGGAGAGGTCCGGGGGGCAGCGGCATCGGTGCCCTTTTTGGTTTTCCCAGTGGGAGTCGGGGGCGTTCGTCGAGGAGGGGGCCCAGGAGGCTCCAGATCTTGGAGGGTTCGTCATCTGAGGAGGGCGGCGGTGGTGCCCATGGCCACGCCTCAACGGATGAGCCACCAGCTTCCAGATCCTGGGTTCCTGGTCCAAGGGATTCTTGTCCGATGCCCTCACCGGATGAAGGGAGGGTCTTCTCGGAAGGCGGCGGGGCTCCTCAGAAGCCCTGCGGCCTTCTCTGAGAAGCCCTCCCCAGACCCCCGACGTCATGATGTTTCCATAACGTCGACCCTCAGAGGTCTCGACCCATTCCCCTGAACCGATTTTTCATCCTGAGTCGTTGTTTGACTGTCCCGAGGGCCGGTAAGGGCCTCCACAGGCCGAAAATATGGAAAAACGTCCGTCCTGATTTTTTCGTTGCCCGATGGTCTAGCAGTGGTGAAGCGTCCTGGCGTGCTTATAGTTCCATTAAACAATGTTCTACGAACCTTTCGTAGTTTCTACGAGCTGTTCTTGGACCATTCTTGTCTGCGATGCATCGGCGACGCGGCTCGATGTGGAGCCCGGTATTCTCCACGGTGGCGGCGCCGATGCATGGCCGATGTCGCCGATGCATCGGCAACTTATCGCCAATGTATCGGCGATGCGGCGGGATCCTCCGACCCCACCTACTCCGACCCCATCCAGGGGGCCTCTACAGATGGGGTGGATCTCATGGCCGGGGCCATGGGGTCTCTCAGATCTCATGGCTCCGTCTTCTCACCCCAGACATGCGACGTCTTGATATTGTTCAGGACGGCGTCCCTGGTAGTTCCGACCCTTTCCCCAGGACCCGATTTTCGTCCCGAGCCGCTTTTTGTTGGCGGTCCCGACCGAAGCCCGGCGAGGGCTCCCCAGGGCCGACAATAGCCAGAAACCTCCCGTCCTGATTTTTCAACGACGCGATCATGTCTCGGGTCGGGCGAAAGGGGGGGGGGTGAAAGGGGGGGCTACGAAACCTGCTACATGTAGCTGGTTTCGGCCCCGCCGCCGGGCCCATTCCTCGATACATAGCCGCCTCCGGCGCCGGGCGACGCCGGGAAAATCAGCTACGTGAGCTGATTCTCAAACCCCCCCTTTGCTATCCCCCCCCTTTCGCCCGACCCGAATGCCTGGGCCCTCACCACCTTCCCTAGCCCCCCCCCCTCTTTCTGGCTGCCCCTTTGGCCCCCCCCCCCCTCCGGCTCCTTCGTCGTTTCGTCCCTCTCTCCTCCTCCTCCTCCTCCTCTCCCTCCTCCTCCTTCGTCCTTTTCCTCCTTCCTCTCCTCCTCTCCTCCTCCTCCCTCGTCTTCTTCCTTCCTCCCTCCTCCTCCTCCTCCTCCTTTTCCTCCTCCTCCCTCTTCCTCCTCCTCCTCTCCTCCTCCTAGCCTCCTCCTCCTCCTCCCTCCTCCTCCTTCTCCTCCCTGTCCTTTCCTTCCTCCTCCTCCCTCCTCCTCCTCCCTTCGTCCTCCTCCCTCCTTCTCCTCCTCCTCTCCTTTTCCTCCTCCTCCTCCTCCTCCTCCTCGTCCTCCTCCTCCTCCTCCTCCTCCTCCTTCGTCCTCCTCCTCCTCCTCCTCCTCCTCCTCCTCCAAAGGCGGTCCAGGATGGGCAGCGGGCCCCGTGGAAGGGGTCGAGGAGAAGTCTTGGCGTCACACTGCGAACGAAGTCACGACGTGGGCGGTGCAGTGGAAGACCATGCAAAGTCGCACCCTGCTTGCCTCCAGGGTCTCCCAGGTTTCTTGGGTTTCGACGGCTCTGCGATGGAAACCGTGACGTCCCCATACCCAAAACAATGGACATCCTGGGGTCTCAGGGTTGGGGGTTCGCGTGGAAGGTTCCGTGCAGTCGAGCTCCAACTGTGTGAGCAGATTCAGGAGGGGAAGAACCACACAGACATGATTGTTCGTCGACTCCCAGGAAAATATGGGAAAATATGGGAAGTGGGAAGGAAGACAGAAAACTAAGAATATATTGGAAACTATGGGGAATCCGGGGATTTGTGTGTATTCATGTGTGTGTCCCTGGGCCCCTTTAAGTTGAAATGCTGCGGTTGGCGTTTCCAGTGTTCGTGGCGTTTGTGTCCAGCTCTCGGGCCTCGTGCAAGGCCTCGTGTTCCCTGCCCGCCTCTCCTGGCAGCGCCGACATGTTCGCGTAGATGTCCACATTGGAGGGTTTCTCCGATTGGCTTAGGCGACCAGTCCTCCTCCTCCTCCTCCTCCTCCTCCTCCTCCTCAATCTCCTCCACCTCCTCCATCCCCTCCCCCTCTTCGTCCTCCTCCTCCTCCTCCTCCTCCTCCTCCTCCTCCTCCTCCTCCTCGGGTCGCCTACGGCCCGGGAGAAACCGTGCAGTCCACATTCATGGCCTCGTGGCCCAGACTCTTCGACCGCGACTTCGTGAGTACAGTTTCGGCCATGCGCAGAAGGGGGTAGGGGAAGGGGAAGGCTTCGTAGGAGCACCCTGCTTCTTAGAAGTCGCGGCCTTTGTCTATGGATATGGTACGGCCAGCGCCTTCTGAGAAGCAGCCTGCTTTTGAGAAGCCTTCCCCTCTCCCCTACCCTCCTGTGCGCGCCGCCAACAGTTGCTCGTGAGGCTGGTACCTGTTGAACTCAGACATACTTCCACCATGTGTGCACACTGAAATACCTTGCAGGATAGTCGCTGCGGCGGGCGAGGTCTGGTCACGATGCCTGGATAGCAACCCGACAAGAGGTGCTTCTACGGTCCCTTCTGGTCGGTCGTGCTCCTCCATGGGCTGCACACACTTCAGGAGGGAAAAAACACACAGACACAATTAATCGTCGATTCCCCAGAAAATATGGGAAAATCTGCGAAGTGGGGGGGAAGACAAAAACACATAAATATTAGGAAATATAGGGACTATTTTTATGTGTGTGTATTTATTTGTGTGTCCTGGGGCCCCTTCACATTAGTAGTGTGTCCTTCTGCGCCTGACGGATGGGGCCCCTCCGATTCTCCTGCCAAAGCCTTTCTGCTGTCGCCCTCCCCCTCTGCTCCCTCCCGGGGACGAGGTGGGCGAGGGGGGGAGGAGAACGAACGAACGAAGCAGCCATACGCCAAAAGCACGTGGGCAAGGACAGGCAGAGCGACACGCCAAATGCGTGCAATAAACAGTTACGTCAAGCAGCCTGCCAAAGTACAGAGACACGAAATTCAACATAGTAATACAAAGCGCCCGACTGCGAAGCAGAAACAGGGGATGTTATGCTGAATTTCGGGGGGGGGCCTCGTCAATCCTGCTGTTGCACCAGACATGGACCCGACGCAGGTTCGACTTCCGACGTGGACTGGACGCGGATTCGACGAACGTCGCGATGGGGCAGACGAGGCCCCCTGAGGATGCGGCGCGAAGAAGGATGGACTCCCCCTGACGTCGGACGCCCCGAAAACGAACGCACGCACAGCGCACTGGAGGAGGAGGAGGAGGAGGAGGAGGAGGAGGAGGAAATGACCTCCGACCACCTCCCTTGGCTCGAAGAAGCTCTTTAGCTGCACAAAAGCACAAGCTGCCGTCGGCCCGCGCAGGTCCTTAAAAGTGCCGCGCGGGCCTCCTCCTCCTTCTCCTCCTCCTCCTCCTCTCCTTCCTCCCCCTCCCCCCCCTCCCCCTCCCCTCCTCCTCCTCCCTCCTCCTCCTCCTCCTCCTCCTCCTCCTCCTCCTCCTCCTCCTCCTCCTCCTCCTCCTCTCGGAAGGGGCTCGATGATCCTTAGGTCCTCCCATGGCTGTTGCTCCAGCGCTCCTCGTGCACGCAGGCGCTTCTGGGGCCAACGAAGGGCGTCTTGCCGTGTTCAGCGTTCCTTCTTTCAGTATGTATCCCGATTGTAAATGTCCCGCAGAGCCATCGGGGTGGCACACACAGCGCGATTGCCTTTCTTCCCTTCGCATCGCCGCATGAGGTCAGGTCGAGCGGAACACACTAGGGCGAACCTACGAGTGCACGCATGCACGCATCTCCAAACCGATTTGAATAAGGACATACATATATCTATATAGATATAGATCGAGAGAAAGACAAACAACAAAGACAGAGAGAGAGAGAGAGCGAGAGAGCAAAGAGAGAGAGAGAGAGAGAGGCTATGGATGCCTCTGGGCTGCCTGACCGAAATGTGTGTCTCCTCTCCGTGTCTCTCCACGGCTGGTTCTCCCCGCGGCGTTTTTTGTTCGCAACGTGGGCCCTCGGAAGCTTGGTATGGGCCGCACGCTTGACAACCCTCCGCTGCCCAGCTGGATATGCGGGGTCGCCCTGTTCACCTGTTTGCGCAACGTCGGGTGCTTCCTGTCGTCTTCCCTCTCCTCCTTATCGCCTTTTTTTTCTGGAGTTGGAAGAGCCTGGCGGATCCTGCGCCGCCTGCCCCAGGCCAAGGCTCCTGAACTCTGGCCGCCCTTGTGCCTGCCCCCTTGGCCTTCCCCTCATCCCTGGTGCCTCGTCCGGTCCCCCCTGTCCTCCTGCCGTTTGGGTCGCTAATTGGTGGCTCGGCGGAGGCGGTGGCTGTCTGGCCATATATATACACATACATACATAGATATTGATCATCTCAGAAGATGCCATCGTGCTGCTCAGGATCGCCCTCAACGCCTTGTCACGAGAAGTGCTTCGGCACGGGGCTGCCTGCTGCGTTGACGTGAGAGACAAGAGAGAGAGAGAGAGAACAACAGAAAAGGGCTGTTACAGTTCTTTCTTACAAGCGCGAAGAAGCCCCGTGGCACGAAGGAGAGGCCTGGTGCACAACGTGGGCCCCAGAGGGTCTGGACCCCTTCCCCGGGACCGGCTTCTCTCGCCCCGAGTCGTTCTCGTGCGGCTCCGTGGGCCACCGACCGCGTTCCACATACTCGCAGAGTGCCTACTCGCGAACGTCCGGAACACACATGTCTGCTTCGATGTAGTTTATCGTAGACCCCCCACGGCGGATTCAGGCCATTTGCGAATGACTACAGTGCGAGTCGTGGAACGCGCTCGTCTACGTAGTGGGGCCCGCTGAGGAGGGCCCCCAGAGGCCGCACTCCTGCTTTCTCATACTTCCCCTGCTTTGTTCCGTGGGCCGGCTGCTCACGACGCCACGGGTCTTCGCCATGGCGAGCGGTTATTAGTTATGACGCCGGCCCTTGCCGAATCTCGACAGCGCGTTCGGGCACGCAGCGACTCACCACATGCGCCGTCACCAGGAGAGCCCTCCGCCCCCCGCTCTAATTCCGGCGAAACTCATCTATCACGAGCCGCCCCTGGAAGTGATCTACTGCCCCCAGACACTTCAGTGCACCATCCCACCCAGATCATAGCTCGGCACGCACGATATGGGTACAGAAAGAATGGGTGCAATGCCCAACAGCAGTTCCTGTTCATCTCGAACAGGACTCGCGGTCCGCCCCGCCGCGGCCTCTGTCCATTTGAGACAGACGGCCGCCTGCCCAACAGCGGCCGCTGTTGGTTTAGGACAACATCTGTTGTTGGGCATTGTGCCCATTTTTTCCGTACCCATTTCGGGCGTCCAACATTTTCCGATTACGCGTAAGAGTGACCTTTCGCCGGAGTGACCTTTGGTGCGGGCCCATTGGGGCCCCCCGATCGCCGAACGCGATGCGGTATTAGCGTCTTGCGCGCTCGTGTTTGGTTTCCCGCAGCCCCCAATGAACCGCGCACCAAAGGTCACCAATACCCAGGGTCACTCTTGCGCGTAGTCGAATTGTTTTGGTGCGTGGGCCCAGGAGGTCCGGAACAAAATAGCAGGATTCCAGCGAGACCCCCGCCGGATTCCAGATGCCCATCCGGGGCCCCATGTGGAGGCGGCGCGTTTGCCGACCATGTATCGGCCTGCGGCAGCCGGGGATCTGCCAGTGGGATCACTGGACACCGGCCTCCGCAGCGCGAAGATGAGGTCGGGCCTGTCCCCCCATACCGGGGGGCTTCTGGACGCCAAACTACAAAAATTGCCCCAACAAAAAGATTCAAACACATGCGCAGCAAAAGAGTCAAACAGCATCGTCCCCCGGCCATTCTTTGTTCAGCGAGCGAAGAACGGTATAACATAAACTTTTTCGCCGTCGGGGACACCTGCCCCAGGGCGGCTGGAAAGCTTATACCCCTACGGTGCCACCGTAAGGGTATAAACTTTCCAGCCGCCCTGGGGCAGGTGCCCCCGACGGCGAAACAGTTTATTTTATACCGTTCTTCGCCCATTAATTTGCCCGTTAATTTGCACAAGATGGAAGGAGGAGGAGGAGGAGGAGGAGGAGGAGGAGGAGGAGGAGGAGGAGGAGGAGGGAGATCCCCCCCTGTGGAGGGACCCGGCCCGGCTCCGCGCGGAGAGGTGGGGCCTGGGCGGCCCGCGCGCCCTGCCCGGGCGGCCCGCCGGCGGGGGCCGCGCGCGGCGCCCGCGCCCAGGCGGGGCCGCGGGCCCACGGCCTGGCTCGGCGCGCTTTGATCCTGCGGCCGGGGGGAGGAGGAGGAGGAGGGAGGAGGAGGAGGGTGGAGGAGGAGGATGAGGAGGAGGGGGAGGAGGAGGAGGAGGGGGAGGAGGAGGAGGGGGAGGAGGAGAGGAGGAGGGGAGGAGGAGGAGGAGGAGGAGGAGGAGGAGGAGGAGGAGGAGGAGGGAGGAGGAGGAGGAGGAGGAGGAGGAGGAGGAGGAGGAGGAGGAGGAGGAGGAGGGGGAGGAGGGGGAGGAGGGGGAGGCCGCGCGTCCCACCAGGTTTCGGGAGCCTTGAGACGGGGGTCAAGCAGTGGCGAAGCGTCCTGGCTCGCCTATAGCCCCGCCAGACAATGTTCTGAGAGCCTTTTCTGTGGTCCCACGAGATGTTCTTAGAACATTTCTGGTCGGCATTGTCTTGCTCTAGCACATCGGGTTCATGCTCTAAGAACATTGTTCTTGTTCTTAGCACATTTCTGGGTTCTAAGAACATTTCGTGGTAGGACTATAGGGATGCCGGGACGGTCGGTCCCTGCTCAAACCAGGTTCTGGAGGTATGTCGGCGACTGCAAAGGGTATGGTTACGCCGAGGTGTGGTTTAGGATCGGCACCGTTGGGGCCTGGGGGGCACGACGCTGTCCTCGTCGGGCCTCTCCGGGGCGTGGGGAAACTCTACCGAGGTTCCCGGGCGACCCCCAGGGTGCCCCCCAGGATGTTCCCCAGGGTGCCGGTTGCAAACCGCACCCTTGGCAAACCACACCCTTAGAAATCGCCGAGTACGGTATAAAGGGGTATGGTGCAAATTTCGTGTGACGGGGGATCTGGCGATATTAGCCCTCGCAGACGGCATCGCCATGTCCACGACTGGCACCATACATACCCCTTTCTCCCACAACCCTTTTCCGACCTCCACACAGATCTCTTCGCGACGTGATTTGCTGTGGACCCTGTGTTTTTTGTTGCTCCTCGAGCTCGGGGCTTCGCTTGGGCCCGCCCGTCGTGCCCTGCAGGGGCCCTCGAGAGCGCCTCGGGGGCGAGAAGCCACTCCCCAGGGAGGGGTCGGGGCTGTTGGGGGCGCAGAGTTCGAAGAGGAACAGAGCACATACACATAAACTTTTGGCGATTCGCGCGGATTTCTTGGATCCGCGCTGGGCCCCACTCGGCGGCGCTTTCGGCGCCGCCCATGGCGCGCTCCGCGCGCCAGGGAGGGGGGTCCAGCAAGGATACAGGAAATCCGCGCGGAGCGCCAAAAGTTTATCTGTATGTGTTTTGGGTCTTGTTCTAGGAGTGGAACAACCCATAGCGAAAGGTGTCTGTGCCTAGGGGTCACGGAAAGATCACGGCGGCTTGGCAATTGTCGGCCTCTAGGGGCCTTGACCAGGCCCGGGGGGCCGTCAAACAACGGCTCAAGATGAACAGCGGGTCCCGGGGAATCGGTCGAGACATCCAGCGGCCCACGGAATGAAGAAATCATGGCGTCGGGGTTTGGGATCGGATTCGAGGCGATTCGGTGGCGATTATACGACGATTCTGCGGTCTGATCGCGATCCGCGCCGTCCGTCTCCGAGCCGATATATCGATCCCACCTCATCATCCGTTGCCGCCGATCTGATCCGATCGGGCCGTCATCCGTTGATCGCGATTCGTTGGCGATTTCGCCGTCCGTTTCCAGTCCGTTCGGTGTTCAATCATGGACCCCTTGCTAAACGCAAGCATCCGGCTTTCACGCCGAAGACCGCCGAAGACCGCCAGAAACCGCCGAAGACCGCGGGACACCGCCGAAGACCGCCAGAAACCGCCGAAGACCGCCAGAAGACCTACGAAGCCCGCCGAAGACCGCCCGAGGCGGATGGGTATGACAGAGCGGTCCATGGTCGAATACGTCGACGAATCCACTCCGATTTCGCGATTCGACCGCGCCGCCGCAGGCTGCGCCGCAGCCGGGCCTGCGCGGCTCGCGGCGGGCGGCGCTGCGGGCGGCCGCCGGCGAGGTGCGGGCGGCCGACGACGACGCTCGCCTGCTGGAGGCGCTGGGGGGCCGGGTCTACGACGCGGAGCGCATCGAGGGGTGCACCTTCCGCGCGGCCCGCACTGTCTGCACCTTCCGCGCGGCAGCTGCCGCGTCGGCCGCGGCGGCCGCCGCGGCCGCAGCGGCGGCCGCCGTCGAGGCTGCCGCGGCGACCGCCGCGGCCCGCATCGCGGCGGCGGCTGCCGCGCGGGAGGTGCAGCAGGTGCGGGGTCGGCAGGGCGCGGGGATCCCACGCTCAAGGGCGGAAGGGGGACCGGTGCCGCTGCCCTGACCTCGTGCTGGCCTTCTGGGGCGTCCTGGGAAGCTCTCGTCGCCACCGCTGGATTCGACTCGACGTGCTGGTCATAACGCACCTCGCGAGAGGCTCCGGGAGAGGTCTGGGGAGTTGCGGTATTGGTATATCTCGATCGATGGCCTTACGGCCGGTGCCGCTGATCCTTAAGGCGGGACCTCCCCCCGAAACCCTCGCTGGCGACCCCCCCCCGGACCCACCAGGACCCCAGGAGGGGGTGCGGCATTCTGATCCAGGACCCCAGGGGAGGAATAAAGGGAAGGGAATCGTCTTAACTTCGAAGCTCCTTTTCCTTGTTCCTCAATTTCATGGGGACTGGCGACGGCCGACGGCGACGGCGACGGCGACGAAGACGACGACTCAAACGGAAAAGCGTCTCACACACGCCAAAGGGTCGGCGGACTGTGGTATCGGTATCGGGCCTCCGACGGATAGGAGAATCAAGACGTCGATTTCCCGTTGTCTTCGGCGCCGATGGCGGCCATCGCCTATCCCGGGGACCTTCACAACACGAGCCAGGACAGGGAGCCGGTCCTGGGGAAGTGGCCCAGTGCTCGCGGGACCGACATTGGGGGTCTAGGGATCTCCGGGTGCTTATGATGGGCCAATGCTCCACCACCACTACCATAGGATGGGGCGGTCCTCCTCCTCCTCCTCCTCCTCCTCCTCCTCCTCATTTTTGTTCCTCCTCCTCCTCCTCCTCCTTCTCCTTTTCCTCCTCCTCCTCCTTTTCCTCCTCCTCCTCCTCCTCCTCCTCCTCCTCCTCCTCCTCCTCCAGAGGCGCCCTGGCGACATGCGCCCCTTAGGACTTAAGAACACCTCCAACAAAGCGATCTCGGCACTCCTAAACGGGTGCATCCAGCCCTGGATTCGGGCCACGGGGGCGGGCATGCAGAGTGGCTTCATTGCAGGACGCCAGATGCTCAGCAACGTGGTGGAGTTGGGTGGCCTTTCGCGGGCTGCCAGCTGGTGGTTCAGGGACAAGGGTGACTTCGAGCCGATGATCCTCGGCTTTGACTTTGCACCCTCTCGGTCTCCAAGGTCCCCGCCGGATTTCGGAAAGCCGTCGTCCAGCTCTACCTCTTGAACCCGTGCTCAATAATGACGGGGGGAGTGAGTTGCCTCATATTCTGGATCACCTCCGGCATTGTGCAGGGATGCCCGCTTTCGGGCTCGCTTTACGTTGCCGCCTCCAATCCTTTTTACCGGGACATGGAGGAGACCATCCAGAGTCGGGGCCACGGGGCCCTTGGAGCCTGTGCGGACGACGTCGGTGGAGTGATTATAACACCGAAGGGCTTGCGAGAGCTCGCCAGGATCTTCCGAGTAGCGCACCTGCTTGCTGCCCTGCTTTTAACATTCCCGAAATGCAAGGCTGCGGGGCTCGGGGGACCTCAGTCTGAGGCTCGGGAGGGCCGCATTCGCCATCAGCTCGAGGCGGCCTGCTCCGACTGGGACCAGTTTGGAATCGTAGGACATTTGAAGTACCTCGGCTTTTGGATCGGCCCGACTAGCACTGTTGACATGAACCTGGCGGCGCCCATGTCCCAGGCGCGCCTTCGTGTGGGGCAGATTGCTCGGCAAGGTGCTTCTGCCGCTATGTCTTTCCAGCTTTACGCCTCGAGGGCCTTCCCTGTCGCCTCCTATGTTTCCCAGCTCATCCCCATGAGCTGGCAGCGCGCCTCTGAGGAACGTCATTAGTTCGCCCAGCTCTGGAGTACCTCCAGTTTGGTGGCGAGGCATGCGGATTAGTTTCATCTGGCTTCGGTTGGAGGCCCAGCGGTCCATTCTTTCTTTTCCACGGCTGCCGCCGCCTTGCTGCTCGCAGCGCTCGTGACTACCGCGGTCTGGCGGCCGTTGCTGGTCCGGATCCGCGAGGCCTCTATCGTGGCCCCGGCGACGGGCGACTTTCTTGCCCCGCAATTCTGGAGGATGCCTTGCACCGCGGTGTCCCTCGAAAAGGCCGCGTCGGGCTTCCCCGAGGACCCAAAACTGCGGGCGGGGGGGGCGGCAGGCTTTTTGACGGTGGCGTTTGGGGCCCACGGAGGTTCACCCGAAGTGGCAGAGGGTCTCCGAAACTTCGATTCCCGAGCGCGTGTTCCAAAATGACCTGCGGGAGCTCGTCCGGAGGAGGGTGGTCAAGTGGTATAGGGGTGGACTTTCGGGCTGGGGGGGGGTGGTTTGGGACGAGTTGGCCACTTTCCTCAGGACTCAACCCCCTAGCTGGGTCTCGGCAGCCTTAAAGACATGGCTTGGGGGATGGACGACAAACACTCGTATGCAACGACATGCGCGGTGCCTCCTAGGGTGCGATTGTCCAGATCATCTGTGCCACTATCTGCTCTCATGCCAGCCGTTGTCTGAATTGGTCGCCCTTGCCACCCGCCAGATCCCGCCAGCGGATCGGTTGCGTCGTCTCGGCCTTGTGGGGGAGGATCTCCGGTGTCGCGTCGGTTTCTTCCATGGGTACCGCCTGCTTGCGCCCCTTGCCCGCTCTGAGTCCCGCACCCTCACCCCCAGGGAAAACCGTGGACATGTACAGGCGATAGCTCTGGCCATGCGGGTCCCGAGGAGGCAGCGGCATCGGTAGTTGCCATCGGTCTGACGTGGAATTTCCCGCACGCTGTGTGCTCCTCCTCCTCCTCCTCCTCCTCCTTCTCCTCCTCCTCCTCCTCCTCCTCCTCCTCCTCCTAGCCGCCATTTCCCCTCCCAAAGGATTTCTGCAGCGGCGGCGTCCCCAACTTTGGCCCTCACCCAGCGTTCGTCCCTCTCTCTTGTGCCTGCCATGTTCGGTCAATGACGGATGAGTCGAGCTGTACGAGGGGCCTGTGGGATGATTATTATGTGTAGTCTCATTCGAGCCGCTTTGTATAACCCGTTGTCTCTATGCACGGCAGGCAGAACACTGGAAATAGCCCAGGAGCTCGACGTGGACATATTGATGATGCCTGGTACGTGTATACGTGAATGGGAGGGAAGGACATACCACACGGAAAATCTTGGAGGAGGTAAATTCACTGCAGTAAATTATGGATGGATACGTGCACCATACAGCAATACGAGTGCGGGAGTGTGTCTTATTCTAGGTCGTCGATTTCGCGCCGAACATATCTATTCAATCGTCTCTGGCCCTACAAACGCACCAGGTCGATATGGGGAACTACGAATTAAATCTGGACTCCTGGATATCACTGTCATATGTGCTTACCCACCACCCACCTACTCGGAGGGGACAAAACGGAAGGCCCAAGTGACGGCCGCTACTACTGTAATGCGATATGTACGTAGTCGAGTCGAACGTTGTCGTTCCCGGAATACCCCGATAATAGGCACTGACATCAATTCAGGATTTGGACTCTGGGAAGACGGAAGCTTGGTAGACCCCGACCAGAACCACATCGGACCCTATCACTTAAGAAAAAACGGCCCATCTGGAGAGATTTTCTCAAACATGTCATTTGACCTCGACCTCATGGCCCCTGGAAGCTCTACACTACAGTCGGGACCCACATATTATGGGCCTCAGGGAGACAAATCGACACTGGACATCTTCGCAATCCCGAAGGGACTAGGACCTGGAGTAAAACACTGTCGAGTTGCTTGGAGAGCTGGCCGCGTCCTACAGCTAATCCCTCGGAGTGCCCCACGAGACCATGTACCCGTTATCCTAGCTATGCAGTACGAGTCTCCCGCGACGATGCCGAAAACTCTGCGACCCCGATGGGGCCACAACAAATTGGCCGAGGCTCTCCAGAACGGAGCTCATCGAGAAGCTTTTCACTTGGAACTCGAACGAGAGATGATGGCCCAAACCACATATTTTGCCGACTGCAATGAGAATGACGAACACACGGATAATTACTACAATCGTTGGGCCGAGGTCGTGCAGCGAGTTGGCCTAAATCACTTTGCCATGCCCGATCGACCTGTGGACACCGTAGAGCGTCGACTCCAACAAGAACGACTTCGACTTGTCCGAGAACGTCGCGCACAACGAGCTGAGGCAGCAGAGTTCTTCGCCATCTACGGTCGCTACCAGAGCTATGACGACACACACTTGGATTGCTTGAAGAAGATCAAACGGATATCTAACAAACTCCGTCGATGGGCCCGCAGACGTCGTGCACTACACCGCGAACGGCTATACCAAGAACTTCGACAGGCTCGAGCAGCTGGACAACAGGCCGAAGTACATAAGCTGGCTCGACTTCTATCTGGCCGATCTACTGGTGTGAAGAACCGACGCTACAACACGATTACCTCATATCGACCGACTCCCCCGGAACTCCAACAGCATCTATCTCAAGCTGGTGCTGACGGAGGCATGGGGGCGACTCACATTCCTGATCTGGATAGCATGATATATAACTTTCTCATGGAAGAGGCGACCATCAAGACGCGCACTCACAGCATGGAACGGACAACGGAGGTTATGCTACGCAACATGGTATGGAAGCTACGCAGAGCACGAGGACGACGATGTGGGCCTTCTTGGAGCGTTCCCGCCGAGCTTGCACTCATAGTCTTGGCGCCTGGCCACCTTTCACGGCAGAAGAACATGAAGTTTGGCATCGGCTACGACGGAATGGGAAACGCACAACTACCCGATGCAGCTGAGGAACGTCCTGGATTGGGCCCCCATCACAATGTCTCTGGGTCTGGAGAGCCAATACCACCGACACTAGCACTACCTGAATGGGATGCTGTTGATCGAGATCTTTCGGCGACTTGAATGGGGAGGCCCTCGACTTCACCATGACACCTGGAGAGAGGCCGCCAGTGGCGGTCCCAGAGACGCTTCACAACATCCCGACCGACCAGACGACCAGGGCAAGAGATGGGCGCGACAACGCGTTGAATTCTACATCCAAGCTCACTCGTGCTTGAGAAGAATTCGAGAATCTCGTGATCCGATCCCTTCAGGTTGGTCAACTTCCAACGAAGTCGAGTATAACTGAAGGAGTCTTGCTGGACAAGTCCAACGGCAAGACCCAGATGTTGGGTCAACGTATTGTGCATTTATCTGATGTTTTCTGGAAGTATTGGTATGCAGTATTATATAGTTATGGGGACCGCGACGAACAATTTGATAGATCTTTTCCTGGCCACTGGCATGGTTTTCTGAAATATCGGAGGAGAGAAGGAGCTATACTAGTCCAGCTACGATTAGGATGGTCCCTGAGGAACTCCAAGACCCCGGACGCATGCGAGTTGCATGACTTGACGAACGCTTTCATGTGTCCTCTTGCCGACGACCTCCTCATTCAGTCTGAGGATATGGTCCGCGAGGATTTGAGGGGTTATGCACACCAGCGCCTAATTAACAGTGTCGTCAAAATCCCGATCGACAACAAGTTTGAGGCTTGTATATGTAAGAATGGGGGGCTCCAGGGCTCTTGCGAGGCACCGAGGCAGTTTGCAGGCGTTTTTGACAAGTGCTACAACGAGATCCACGAGGCCAACGGGACCCCCATCTATATTTACAGCGCGCTCGGGACCCCCACTCTGGACTGCTCTATGGTAGGTTTCGCCGATGATTTATTTCGACGTCGGCTTTTAGAAGATTCTTCGTTTTCAGGGGCTCTGGAGGCGATTCGACTGGGAGACGAAAGCATGAACAACATCCTTGGGAAATGGCACTTCCGCCAGAATATGCAGAAAAATGACATCATACCATGTCTAGGATCACACAACTCGAACAAGCGCTTCCAGGAGAGTTGCCCCAGTAGCTACGGCGCGGTGCGCGCGAGCGCCAGACACTTAGGTGCACGCCGCCACATGCGCGGCTCCAGCGCCACCGAGCTGGAGTTTCGTATACGAGCTATACACGCAGGCTGGTCTGTCATTGGTTTATTCTGGCACGAACGAGGTTTACGTAGATTGAAGCGTGAGCTGTTCTTGGGCAAAGTAGTGGAGAGTGGCATCACAGGTCTTGAGGCTTTCGCTTTGTCTCCTACTGAGTATCAGAAAATCGACTCTTGCATCGTCAAGTATTTACGAGTTCTGATGAGAGGTGCTGCCACTTTCCACGATGGCTCTCACACTCACTCTCTGCGGAATTCAGAAGTGCTGTACAGATGGCGAATTCTCCCTTGCCGTGGGGAGCTGGCGGTGCGTCGAGTCAAGTGGTTACAGAGCATGCTCCTGCACCGACACGCACATTGTCAGACGGTAGCAGGTATTTTTGGCCACCTCAGTGACGAGGCTCCCACTTTACAGGACTGTGGACAACTCAGCGACGCAGCGAACCCGTGGGCCAAAACCTTCGACCAGAACCTCCAGCTCTTTCGAGGGATCAGTGGGACCGAGAGTTTTTTCGAAGTCTGGGAAGATAGTGGTTTCTCGTGGAAGGCGCTCTTCGACCCCTCCTCCGAGTCCTCGCATGAGTTTCTGAAGATCGACCCCTCGATTCTTAGAGCCGCAGCCTTTACGGACTATGACAAATGGTGTTCTTTATTTCCTGAATTACATTGTCCTGAAACCAAGGGCGAACACATCTTTACGTGTATGGTCGAGAACTCGGAGGGCTCCCCCTGTGGTCTCCAATTTGACACTTATCGGGCACTCATGGGCCACCAGACTAACGGACATCGAGTAAAGTATATCCTACATAGTGGAGTTACCACGAACCAATGCCCCAATTGTCTGCGCATCTTTCGGGGCGCTGACAACGCACGCAAGCATCTTGAACAATCATATGGATATGGTCGCTGTGCCATGGGTCGTGGTCATATGTCCTGGGAACCCGAGCAGTTGGATGAATGGAGATGCCCTATATGCCCCAAGCCCTCCGTAGTTTTTGAGTCGAATATCTTGCTGTTTCGGCATCTTCGCGAGTTGCACCTACCACATCCGCTACCAAGATTACATCATGCCGGCCTGTCTCGAGGCCCCCGAAGGATCTTCTCTGACACAGGAGGAGGACAAAGGCAAAGGCAACGACAAGAGCAAGAAGCAGAAGACCGACGGCACGGGCAACGCGGCCGAGGTATCCACCGCGCTCAAGAAGAAGATCGACTACCCCACTCGCAAGCTCTCCTGCCTTCTTATGAAACAGCTACTCAAAGTCAGCCAACAGGGACGAGATCTCGCAGGAGTGGTTCTGGACACGTGCATATTCCCAGCCACATGCATGCTGATCACCATGATGAGCGAGCAGACCTTCCTATACGCCGCGGCCGTCAAGAAAGCAGGCAAGGATCACGAGCGCGGCCCGCCCTTCATTTGGGCCATGGGAGGATTGCTCAAGGGACACCAGTCCCTGGGCGACGCGATTGGAGCACAGAACGCCCAGCAAGTCAACAAGTGCTTCAAGGAGTACGCCGAGTACTCAGTCGACTCGAAGTGCGAGCTCGTGCTATTCTGCCGCCAGGACAAGGTCTACAACAAGGAACAGCGTCGCCTCACGGTTTCATGCCGAGACCCAGCGTTTCGCAACGTCCTGATCAGTTCGATGTTGCAGATCCAGGGTGTGAAGCGCAAATACGGCCGTGCCCCAGCAGCGTACATGGAGAGAGAGATTCAACAATTCCTCGAGACGCTGCTGAAATAAAGGTGGACAAATCTACATATGATGATCGATCGACTACAGCATTGGACGTTACAACTACGAGTCCTGAATGCGAAACTCTGGATGATGATCTACAGGTTCTTCATCTACCAGATGATACTCCACCCTGGACCCAGGCACAGCGCTTGAGTTTCTTGCGAGGGGAGGATAAGAAGGAGTCGTCTGCTACTGCTGCCGATGTTCCTCCACCTCCTCGACCAGAATTGAAATCGTCTGAGGCCCCCGTTTTATATGTTTCCCAGCCTCCTCCTATTCCTCCTCCTCCCGCCCGACCCTCGGATGTCCATATAATCACGGAGTATCTAGCCTCGTGCGGGGTTTTCCTTGGGACCGCCAAATTCGAGACACTTTTCAATAGTAGGCATATACTGAGCATAGCTAAATCACGAGCTACCTCTTAGTTGCCCTGGTCCCTCGTGGCTACCTCATGCGCCGGTGGCTGCATGGGGCCAGGCTGGTCCCTCTCGGGACCTCAGCCACGGCCCTAGGTGCATAGAGCATGGCATATGCACTCTCCCCCTAAAGCCAGAGGTTCACCGTGCCAGTAGCCATTCGCAGTTGTGCGAAATATCACGATTGGCGATTGCGCGATTTTGAAGAACAATAGCTCGAGTATGTAATCAGTCACTATGACAGAAACAAGGTTGGCGCCGAAGGTGTGCGAATCGAATCGAATCCCCCTCCTCCTCCTCCTCCTCCTCCTCCTCCTCCTCCTCCTCCTCCTCCTCCTCCTCCTCCTCCTCCTCCTCCTCCTCCTCCTCCTCCCTCTCCGACACATGTAGGTGTGGTAGTGGTGGTGGAGAATCGGCCCATCAGCTGAGGCAGAGCGCGGGACCCACCCAGGGGTTCTCTTCTGAGCACGTTCGGCGCCTGAGCCCATTCGGCCGCCGAACGGGCAGCCGAAGGGTTTCATTCCCAGAGGGCGGCGGGATCTCGGCCACTCGGCAGCCGAGCGGGCTCGCTCCCGGGTCTATTCGGCAGCCGAAGGGAGTCAGACGCCGTCTAGGTTCAAACGGTCACCCTAGGGCAGATCTCCGACAATCTAATTTTGTTCACCCGGCGGTGTTTCCTCGATTTGGACCTCAGGGGCCATCGAGATTGGATCTTGTGCGAAGTACTAACCTCTCGAGCGCGTCCCCATACAGGCCCATACGGCCAACGTCTTCAGCAAGCAATGCTCTTTCTCTTAGTTCACTTGTTCCGATGCTCTGCTGTTATCGGCCCCTGGTGGTCCTGTCCGAGCCCTGGGCCCGTCAGCAAACACTGCTCGGGACGGAAAACCAAACCCTGAGGAGACGGCCAGGGCCTCCAGGGACCCAGATCGCGCACTCACGACAAGCGTTGGATACCCGGGCCTGGCCCCTTGCAGGCTGCCCCCGCTGCCCCGTCAGAATGCCGCCCCGCTTGCGAGCCAGTCTCTGCATCCTAAGGCATCCTCCGGTGTGATCTGATTCCATCTGCGCGGCCCAGAGGTCCCGACCTCTTCCCCGGGGCCAGTGCTTGTTGGAAGGCCCGGGGGCCCCGCAAACGGCCCCAGAGGGGGCCGAACTCGAGGAAAAGCCGCTCCGGACAGAGCGGGCCGCCCCCGCTCGCGAGTCGTCGCCGCCCCCTGCCGCTTCCGCGCCCACCGCGACGACGACGACGACGACGACGACGACGACGACGACGACGACGACGACGACGACGACGAGGGCCCCCGAGCCGCGACCCCGCGGATACGGGGCGTTTTTTCTTGTAGGCCCCGCTCGGGGCGAAGCCGTGCGACCAGGTGTTCCGAGGGATATCGTGCCCCGGGATACCCGACGGCGAGGGCGAGTTCGCTGCTCGTGGGCCCAGAGGTACTTCGCGGAGCGGCCCGGGGAGCTTGCGGCGCATGCGGCGTCCGTGGGCGCGGAGCTCGGGTCTCTGCTGCTCGCGGCCGCGGCCGGCGCGCTGGCCGTGCTGGCGCAGCAGTGGCTCCGCGGCGCGGGCGCTGCTGGCGGGGCTGGGGAGACCTAAGGGTAGCGACACTCAGAGGATCAACGCGTTGCATGAATTTGCCAGGTGGGCCAGAGGGGAACGGTTGAACCGATTGTGTCCATGTTGGTTCTCAAAGTTCTGGAAATTTCATGAGACCTGTCAGAGACAGTAATTGTGGTTTGTTGTGTGTTTGATATATATATATATATATATATATGTGTCATGTATGCTTATATTCTATGTATATATATAAATATATATGAGTGTACACACGTCCGTACTCTATATATGTATATCCATATAGGAGGTACATATTTCGTTGTACCAAATGCACACGGAATCGTACACTTTCATATTACACATTACCATCATACTTCAGTTCAGACTTATCGTCTTGGCCTGAGCAATGAAAGTTTTGCAATCGTTATTGATTCACTTCAAATGATGGAAGCTCTTATGAATATTTGTATACACAAACCGTGTTGAAACGACTGCTTTCAGAGTGTTTGCGTTATCATGGACATGCGGATGGAACGCCAACCACAAGGTTGCTTATGGCTTGTAATCATCAGCGAGTCACGCAAACTCTTGGGGAACATCAGCATCGAACCACCGAGTCCACATACGAATCGCAAGCCAATTATCGTATCCGGAATCATCCGTGTTGATTATTAGTTACGTTTGAAGTCACCGCTGCGCCACATTAAGCTCCATGCAATAACACGAGCACCTGTTGTCTGATACAAAATCGGGATGCTTTAAAACAGTTTGTATACAGGGACGTATACACTTGCACGGAAAGTCATGTACAATTCTATATTCTTAGACATGCTATGTTCGTATCTGTTTTTGGGCATTTGTAACGAACCGAAAAATCATGAATCATAACGGACAGAATAAGTTCATCCATTCCATTTCACAATGATATAGGGCTCCATGAGAAAACATCCTGGGCTTCTTCGAAGTCACAACGATACAGGACGGTTTGAGACATGGATAAAAATTACACGGTCACGGAATGTCAGAATGAAGTTTCTGAACATGGTGTTTCTACGCGTTTCAACGTATATGTCTAGATAGATGTAACTATACCATGTAAGTATAATTCCAGTTTGTGCGTGGGTAGTATGTGTGGCAAGTGTTGCGGATATGACATGCAGTATTATGGCACGGAGTACAACGGTTTTGAGTTGCATTGATTAGCAGTTTTCGAATGTCGTCGCAAAATCAGAAGTGTCAATGACGAAAATACATAATGAGCAGCGTCAGTAACATATTTTATTTGAATTGAACAGTTGCCAAGTTGCGCGGGGTCGCCTGAATTCATATGGGCAAGAGAAGCAACTCTGGATTGTTCATATTTGTGTGTTGGGCTGTTGTCGCAGAGACAAATATTTTAAGTCTAGACGCTTCGCGTATCCCCACCAGCCCGTCCAGAAACGACGCCCAGGCGAGTAGAGGGTCGTCCTGAGGGGCTTTTCGGCGTCTTGGGTGCCTCGGGGGGGCCTCTGTGGGCCGTTCGGGGTCCTCTTTGGGGCCTCCCTGGGGCCTCTTGGGGCCTCTTGGGGCCATCTTGGGGCCTTTGGGGGCCTCCTGGGCGCTTCTTGGGGCCATCTTTGCCCCCTCAGAAGGCCAAAATGGGGCCCAAACCATAGTAAAAAGGCCTCTGGGAGCACCTTGGGTGCCTCTGGGGGGTCTCTCGGGGCCTCTTGGGGGTCTCTTGGGGGCCTCCTGGGGGCCTCTTGGGGGGGCCTCTTGGGGCCATCTTGGGGCCATCCTGCGGCCTCTTGGGGCATCCTGGGGGCCTCTTGCGGCCATCGTGGAGGAAATCGATCAAAGAAGAGGTGAGCTCTAATTAGCGCTGCCCCCTCAGAAGGCCAAAATGGGGCCAAAACCATAGTAAACTCAATGATTTTGGCTTCCTCGCCGAGGCCGTTTTGGACGCTCTGACCGTTCCCCGCCCCTCCTGTTCAGGTCAGTGGGGAGGGGGTAGGGGGAGGGGTAAACCCCTCCCCGAAGGGGAAGAGGGAGGGGTGGAAGAGGAAACGCCCTAAACCACCGACGCCCAGAGGGCTGGTGGGATTCTCGCGTGAACAATAACTTGTCTGAGCCACTGTGTTTACCGAGTTTCCCTATTCTATACATTCAGATGAAAACTCATCTAGATAGGTGGTGGTTGTGTTTGTTCTACCGTAATTTATTCGTGTGTTGCAAATTGTTGCGGGCCATCAGGGTGCACATGCGCAACACAGGCGCTGATGATGATGATGATTATTATTATTATTATTATTATTATTATTCGTATTATTATTATTAGATATATTGTGGATTCCGTCCGGCATCTGTCATGGATCCGTCGTCAGAAGTGGTCAGGAATGTTTCACGCCCCCCTGGGATTCTTCATGGATTCATCTGGGGTTGTCAGGAGTTCTTGCGAAGCCTGACGGGTACTCAGGAATCCTCAAGGGTTGTTCAGGATTCCCCAAACATATTCACATAATCCTTATTCGGAATCCCCAGGGGTCCTTCTTGTAAGTTTCACGAATCCGTTGGCCTCCTCAGGGAGGCGCACGAATCCTCACGAGTCCAGCAGGAGTCCTTACATATTGTTTGAGGAAGCCTAAGCGGCGCCCATAAGGCGCAGTGTTGTGAAAAGTAAGGTAACACGATAGAGAGAAGGACACATGCGAGAGGTTCGAAGTGCACAAGGGCCAGGCCGTGTGGTGGTGGACGTTGACCCCTGAATCTAAACATGATGGTTAAGTCCAGGAGTCACAAAAACGTCGGCCTTACATTCGCCAGGGGTATCCAAAGAACATTCGCGCAGGAAGTTCGAACACAACAACAGCGCCGATTCTGACTTCTCCGCCGCCTCGCCCTGGTGGTGCTCGACGCGGATTTGACGACAGCCTCGCGCGTTTTCAGGCTGTCTGCAGAAGAGAGCAGCGAAACCGAACGCGAGTTTGTCGCCAAGTCGGTTAGCTTTCCACCGCAACGCCAACGTGGAGCATCCGTATGGCGTGCGCCGGGGGAGCCCAGTGACAAGCGCCACGAGGGCGAGGCGGCGGGGGGGTCATCGGCACTGTTGCGGCTATTCTCTGGAGTCCCCCAGGGAATCAGATATATACTTTCGATTGTCCATGGGAATTTCTTGGATCGGCGCTGGGGCCCTCCTGGCGGGGCCATTGGCGCGGCCCCTGGCGGGCTCCACGCGCCGGGGACGGCGTCGGGGAGGGCGTCCAGCGCAGAACCATGACATCGGCCAGGACGTCTGAAAATTTATTTTTATGCAGTGTGCTCTTCCCCTTGACATTGAGTGCATTACAAAAAATAACATACCAATGCCGAGGTCGTTCCCTCGTTTGTGATCTGTTGCATCTCCTGGGAGGCCCTTGCCGCCACGGCTGCGTTCGCCGAGAGATGCTGACCAGAACGCGCCGTGTGAGAGGTCCGTGGAGTAGCGGCATGGTTATCTTTGCCTCCCTGGATCGCCGCTGTTCCCTCTCTTGACCTCTCCCCGGGTGCGTAAGGGAGGAGGGGGAGGAGGAGGAGGAGGAGGAGGAGGAGGAGGAGGAGGAGGAGGAGGAGGAGGAGGCAGAGCTGCGAGGCGAGGCGGGCGGTGGCGGCCAGAGGCCTCCCCCGGGGGAGCCCGAGAGGCGCGCAGTAGAAAGCAGGGGTGCCGCAGGGTCGTGCCGCGCCGGGGCGGCGGCGATCCCGGCGCCGGCGTGCACGATCGAACGCCGCAGGGTGGCCCCAGTGATCCGCCGCTCCTCAGCAGAGCGCCGACCCCGCCACGCTGAGCGGTCCATGCGGTGCCAGGGGCCAGTGCCGAAGTCCATATGCCAGGAGCCCGCAGCACCGATGCCGCGGCTCCCCGACCTCTCTCGGGAGGCGGCTCTGGACCAGAGCCTCGGAGCGAGGCCGGCGGCTGCGGCGAGTCAGGAGGAGGAAAAACACACAGACACTATTAATCATCGACCCCCCAGAAAATATGGGAAAATATGGGAAGTGGTGGGGAAGACAAAAACCCAGAAGATATGGGAAAATATGGGGAATCGTTTTATTTGTGTGTATTTATTTGTGTGTCCCAGGGCCCCTTCAGCGAGGGCCTCCCAGGAGGCCCAGAGCTGCGACAACTGGGCAGTGGCCCAGGACATCTCCTGATCTGTTTCTCCAGCCCGCGGTCCCAGGGCTCCCCGACCACTGCACTTCCCCGGAGGTGGGATGGCGCCCCGGATCCATGTTCGATGGCCCCGCCCCAGGAGCCGAAATCGAGGAAGAGCGCTTCTCGGTACAGTAGGTTCAGGCAGCGTTGGCGCGTTGGCGACGCCAGCGGAGGTGTTCAAGGTTGAGCTCTACGACGGTGGAGCATCGACGGACACGGTAACGCCACAGGAGCCGATTGCATTCAATCTTGAATGATCGGGGTCGCGATCGATTCGAGGTTGAGCGATCGACGCGGTGTCAAAGATTTTGGCGCGCGCCGACGCCGCGCGAACCTACCGTGTTTGGAGTAGCGGCATCGGCACGCTTGGCCTCCTGTGAGGGGCGGCTGCCGAGTGGGCGGAGTGGCGGCGCTCTCTTGCGCCGCGGCTCGCGGGCGCGCTCGTGGCGATGGGCCCCTCGTACATCTCGGGCAGTGCCAGGGTCCAGGTCTCGGCCTCCCAGGTGGGTTGTCCGAGCACAGCAGACGGGGTCGGAGGACGGCGCCGCCGCGTCGCCGATTCATCCGCGATGCGGCCCGATGTGGGCCCCGATTTCTCTACGCCGACGTCGCCGATGCATCGGCGGTACATCGGCGATCCGACGCAATCCTCCGACCCCACCTGCTCGGACCCCATCTAGGCGGCCTCTACAAGGGGCGTCACCACGGGGAGGGCACGGGTTCCTCCTGGCGAGGCGAGGTTCCAGGACCGAGGCTCGAGGATTTTCTGTTTGGACGCTCGCGGTCGGCGTGCCAGGCCCTGAGGTGTTCGGGGCCCACCTCCCCGAGGAAGTGAAGCACAACAGCGGGGTCGACTGCGCCGATGTTTGCGCGCACGCTTCCCGCGGAAGGCCGCGCGTGAGCGTCCTCGCCTCCAGAGGCGGCGTGCCGCGCCGGCCGCCCGCGCAAGCTGAGCCGTGAGGCCGCTGCTGCATCGTGCGTAAGTCAGAGCGTGAATTACCTACCCCGCTTTCGCTTCCAGGAAAAACCAAATCATACCACGCGCCTCCTCGTCAAGCGACCTGACCAGTACATGCCGTAGTTTGGCATCGCTTGGTATCTCTTGGAAGCGAGGGTGGTCAAAAGCGAGGTAGGTTTGTTTTCCCCCTAGTAAGGCCCCCTTCTCCTCGTCGCTCGAGTGGGGACCCCCTCGGCACTGCCCCCGCGTCAAGTTCGGCCAGTCGCTCGCCTCGCGGGCGGACCTCGTGTCGGCGGAGGTGGCCGCCGAGCTGCTGCGGCTGCAGGACGCGCTGCCGCCCTTCGACGCCGGGGCGGCGCGGGGGATCCTGGAGGCCGAGCTGGCCGGCGCCGCAGACCAGGGGGCGGCGCAGGAGCTGCTCCTCTCCCTGCGCGGGGCGGGCGAGAGAGAGTGGGGTATACACCTTAGGCGATGCTTAAGAAAACCTAAGTTTTCGGCCAGAGTCTCGATTATTCTTCATGTTTCGATGTAAATCCTAAGATTTGAATCGACATTTTGGGTTTTCATTCAAGTTCTGAGACTGTGGATTTCTTAACCCATGATTTCCTAAGCATTTCGCAGGGGGTATGGCCAGGACCCCGGGTGAGGGGACCCGGTGAGCGGTAGGGCCCCGGAGCCCCCTCCCTTGGCCAGATTCACTGGACCAGGTTTGCCGTGTATAGCTGGTGGTTTTTTCGGGGGACGGCAGGTCCGGTCCGTGGGAACGTGGGACGGGGGGGGGGCGCCCCCGGGACAAATCACTGAACCAGGTTCCACTAAACCCAGTTCTGCCAACGCCCGAGAGAGGGGGGGGGCGGTGGGGGAACAGGGGCCGTGGCTCCAAGATCGAGGGAGAAGCAGCTGAACGACGCAGGAGAAAGGGGTCGTCTTCACCGACGTGGGCGCGTAAGCTGCCAGCGTAAGCTTGAGCGTACACAAGCGCCCTCGCCTCCAAAGGCAGCGTGCCGCGACGGCGGCCCCCGTAGGCCGCGGCGTAAGGTCGCTGTGCCATCTCGCGTAGGACCCCTTTATTGAACAATCACAGACTTTCGACGGTCGGTCTTCCTATCCGGGTGCGATTCCTATTAGCAAGCAGCGCACGCGCCCCCGAGGTTGTAAGCCTTGTCTTGTCACTGCTCTTCAGCTGCCCGCATTTCTGCCCCTATCCGCCCGCCTGTCTCACACTGTTCCTGATGCGCTCGCTTGTGGAGACTGGTGTCGCTGGGGTGTTCGATGCCCTCTCCTCGCCCCAAAAACGAACCGTCGACGGTCCGCGCGGATTTCCTTGATCTTCGTTGGACCTCCCTGGCGGCGCCGCCCATGGCGCGCTCCATGCAACAGGGAGACAGGGAGAGGGGGTTCCAGTGCAGAACCAAGAAATCCGCGCGGACCTTCAAAAATGTATGTCTAATCTTTAATCGGGCATGTCCCTCTACAGGAGGAACATTCAAGAATACTAAAAAGATAGTATGGGGACGATGCTTCTATTATTTGTTCGACTCTTGTAGAACATTGTTGGACTATGTTTCATGTCTCTTCCATCACCCGCCTGTATGAAGACATGCCCGACCTAAGCCAAACCTAGCCTGCCACCCCCCCCGTCCTTCTCGACGCGGAATCGACTCGCCCCTCTTCCTCTTGCTCCTCCTCCTCCTCCTCCCCCTCCTCCTCGTCCTCCTTATCCCCCCTCCGCCTCCTCCTCCTGCTCTTCCTGATCGAACACTTCCCTCTACCTGTACATATTCGTCGTCGGCACCCGCGTCGCGGGCCACTGATTTGTTGGGGGTCCATTTTCCCAGCGAGTCATGTTCCCTGGGCTAGCTACCCTGCACGACAGAGGACTTGTGAGCACGTGTGTAATAGGATTGCAATAGAGAGAGAGGTAGGCAAACTTGTTGCCGAAAGCGTTGCTCACAATCTTCTCCATGATCTCGCCAGAGTTGCAGTACGATTGCAAGTGATGCGGGTAGAAGTACAATCACCAGCCAATATACATCTACATCTTCGTCGTCGGCGCCCGCGTCGCGGGCCGCCGATCAGTTTCCATTAGTCGTCGCCGCGCTGGATAGTGTTGGGGGGGCTCTTTCTCCCAGCGAATAATGTTCCTTGGGAGACCCTGCGCGACAGCGGAATGTTCGAGCACGGCTTTAAGGGGATTGCATATAGATCGAAGTCGTAGTCTTAGTCGTAGTCGTAGCCAGTGTCGAAATAGCTGCCGTGGTAGTCAAATAGTCGTAGTCGGAGTCGGAGTCGTAGTTGTAGCCGTAGTCGTATCGTGGGCGTCGTCGTCGTTGTCGTGCGGTGAAAGCCACGGAGAAGCAATTGTTTTCCAGTGTTGGTGGGTCCCCAGTCCGTCAATAAGGTCGCCGAACAGATACTTCGTCTCTAATTGGTTGGGGGGGGGTCTAACGACCTCTCGCGGTCATGCCGTGTGTTTTTGTTCCTGGATGCCGCTAGCAATCCGTCGTGGCCACGGCTGGAGGGCCACGGGTCAAGCCTGTATGTCCGCTCGGGGCACAGGAGGGGCACACATGCGGGAGAACATTGGCGGGCGCTCGTGCCATTGAACACCAACCATGCGCCGTCTGGCGCGTGACCAACCACAAGCAGTCACAAGTGGGTGAAGCTCTGCGCCGGCTGGTCAGGGCAGGGAGGAGGAAGAGGGAGGGGAGGGGGAGGAACACGAGAAGCAGCAACTTGTTCAGAAGCCCAGCGGATCAAAGGAATTGAAATTCTGGTCAGAACTCCCCGCGGAGGTTTGGGGGGAGGGGTATCGGCACCTTTAATGTCCCCTCACCCTCAGGGGGAGACATTTGGACCAGTGTGCGAAGTGTCTGGAAAGCCGGCTGCAGGAACTGATTGTTTGGTTCCACCCATCCCCCCTCGACACCTTAAGAAGATGAGTTACACGCCGTCGCTATGTCAGCATACTCTGTCACAGCCCATCGTGACGTGTACGCATGGCCTCTTTATGTTGCTCACTGCTGCGCAGCTGGTTCATAACCGTTCGTGGCGTTCCATGACTGGGCCAATCTTCCGAGCGAGGTCAGATGCAGAGCCCCTCATTGGCCGCGCGCCCACCAGGGGGCGGCGCGACGCGGGTGGGTTTCTCAGAAGGGCGGCGGGGCTGCTGAGAAGGCGGCGGGCTTTTTTTAGGAGCCCGCCCGGCTTCCAAGAAGCCTTGTTCTAAGACGACAAGCTTTTCTAAGAAGGCCCCCGCCGCCTTCTTAAGAGACCCCCCCCCGCCATCTTCGAAGGCCAGCCTGCGCCCTCGCGCCACCTCCTTTGGTGGGCGCCGCCAGCCTGCTGTCGAGCTTCTTACTCGCCGTAGTATCATGTTTGGCGACGGTGCCGCCTCAGCGTGCCCCGGGTGCGAAATGCTGGAACTGGCAATGCTCATTTTTCGACTAGACGTAAGAGTGACCTTTCGCCGGAGTGACCTTTGGTGCGGGCACAGAGCCCCCAGGTGGCTGAAAACGAAGCAGGAGCAGCGGCTTGCGCGCCCAGGTTTGGTCTCCCCCCGGTCCCCCAAAAAGCCGCGCACCAAAGGTCACTCTTACCCAGGGTCACTCTTGCGCGTAGCCGAATTTTGGCGACGGCGCCTTTGGTGAACAGCAGCGTGCCCTCGGGAGCTTCCGGACTTTGGCCAGGGGCCGGCACAGTATCACAGCATCGCTCGCCGGCGGGGCCCCACCTCCCCAGCACCGCTGACGCCGCCAACAACGGCCCCAGCACTGTTAGCGTCGCCGACAGTGGCCCCACGGAACAAACGAAGCGAAATATCGGAAGACAGGAGTGCTCCTCTCTCTCTCGTCCGCCCCCGCCTTCGCGGCGCGGAGCCCGTGGCCGCGGCCTCGCTGGGGCAGGTGCACACAGAGGGCATCTAACCATACCGTCGAGGCCCTGAAGAAGGAACCCTTTTCGTTGGGGAGAGGCTCGGTGTTCCTCGATGGTTTCGCAGTTTCCCTCAGGTTTCCCATGGGAAATCGAAGTTTGACTTAGAGGAAGAGGGGCCTCGTTCCTTACTTAGGGCTCCTTAGGTCAACGCCCCGACGGTACACCCGCCCCCGTGACTGGCCGGGAACATCCCTGGGCCCGAGGGTGGTGCACACCCGGAGAGCCGACGACGCCACGGAGTTGCAAAACGCCGTGGAGGCATCACGACGGGAGCCCGGGACACCATCGCTCGGTGGCATGTTTTTTCGCGTCGATTTGTGAAGGTCCATGGGGAAGGGAGTGATGCCCCTGACCTTCCAGGAGGGCTAAAAAATAGCACCCGACGTAAAAACCTATCCCAGAGCTATTTTACGTCTTGGTTTTAGGCTGTTTCGTATCGTTTTTTAGGTTGTTAGGCTTCCAGTGCTAAAAAATAGCTCTCTGGAAGGTCAGGGGCGGAAGCACCCGCAAGGAGCCAAAAGTGTGGCGCCAGGATCTCAGAGTACAGGGGAGGCCCATGCCAAGAGACACCCTGCTGGCCTCCAGGGTGCCGTGGGTTTCTTGGGGTCCGATCGTGGTTCTATGGGCAGCGTGGCGTGCCCACGCCAAACATCAGCGGGCGTCCTTGGGACTCAGGGTTGGGTTTTTTGTGGAGGGTTTCTGATGGGCTGGCCTCCACCGCACGCGACAGCGCCCGCCAGGAAACAGCGCGACGCCAGGAATCTCGGAGCAGGCCGCCTGGTCCGGGACTCGGCCTGGAGGGCGCACGCCCCATGCCAGGGCTCTGGACGTCTCCGGCCGGTGCACGGCGGTGGTGCCCGTGACGGGCCAATCTTCCACCACCACTACCAGCCTCGCGGACGAGTGACGAGGGTTGTTCCACCCGTGACGAGTGGAGCAACCCTCGCGGACAGTCGAGGGGCCCTCTCGGCAGCCTCTTGGGGTTCCCAGGCGCGGTCACGGAGTCCCTTTGGCCGTCTTGGGCGGTCGGGAAGTAGAAGAAGTGAGAAGCTGAACATCCACCAAGAGCCAAAGGAAATTCAGCGATGTGTCCTTTTTTTCTGCGCTCTGGGGGAGCCTCGCGTGGACCTATGGGGTTTCCAGGGGTGCCCCTTGAGCGTGTGGAAGTCATCATGGTCCTTCTTCGAAAAAATGGAGACGCCAGATCCTGGCGTCTCATTCCCAACCCTCCTGCGTTGGGTACTTGTTTTGAATAGAGCACTGCGGTCTCCACCTTCCTTCCTTCCTTCCTTCCTTCCTTCCTTCCTTCCTTCCTTCCCGCCTCCCGCCCCCTCCCGCCTCCTCCTCTCTTCTCTTGGGGGCTGCGATCTGCGAAACTGTCGCCACTTTCGAGGGCTGCTGGGGTTGCCAGCGGAGTGACGCCCTACGGGGATTCAGATTAGACCTCGCCATCCCTGGGGGGCTGCGATCTGTGAAACTGTCGCCACTTTCGAGGCTGCTGGGGGGCCCAGCGGAGTGACGCCCTACGGGGATTCAGATTAGACCTCGCCATCCCTGGGGGGCTGCGATCTGTGAAACTGTCGCCACTTTCGAGGCTGCTGGGGGGCCCAGCGGAGTGACGCCACGGGGAGATTAGACCTCGCCATCCCTGGGGGGCTGCGATCTGTGAAACTGTCGCCACTTTCGAGGCCTGCTGGGGGGCCCAGCGGAGTGACGCCCTACGGGGATTCAGATTAGACCTCGCCATCCCTGGGGGGCTGCGATCTGTGAAACTGTCGCCACTTTCGAGGCTGCTGGGGGGCCCAGCGGAGTGACGCCCTACGGGGATTCAGATTAGACCTCGCCATCCCTGGGGGGCTGCGATCTGTGAAACTGTCGCCACTTTCGAGGGCTGCTGGGGGGCCCAGCGGAGTGACGCCCTACGGGGATTCAGATTAGACCTCGCCATCCCTGGGGGGCTGCGATCTGTGAAACTGTCGCCACTTTCGAGGCTGCTGGGGGGCCCAGCGGAGTGACGCCCTACGGGGATTCAGATTAGACCTCGCCATCCCTGGGGGGCTGCGATCTGTGAAACTGTCGCCACTTTCGAGGCCTGCTGGGGGGCCCAGCACAGTGCCACGGGGATTCAAATTAGACCTCGCCATCCCTGGGGGGCTGCGATCTGTGAAACTGTCGCCACTTTCGAGGGCTGCTGGGGGGCCCAGCGGAGTGACGCCCTACGGGGATTCAGATTAGACCTCGCCATCCCTGGGGGGCTGCGATCTGTGAAACTGTCGCCACTTTCGAAGGCTGCGTGGGGGGCCCAGCGGAGTGACGCCCTACGGGGATCAGATTAGACCTCGCCATCCCTGGGGGGCTGCGATCCGTGAAACTGTCGCCACTTTCGAAGGCTGCTGGGGGGCCAGCGGAGTGACGCCCTACGGGGATTCAGATTAGACCTCGCAGGCGCTGGGGGGCTACGATCTGTGAAACTGTCGCCACTTTCGAGGGCTTCTGGGGGGCCCAGCACAGTGGGCACCCACGGCGGATTCAAATGGGACCTCGCCATCCCTGGGGGGCTGCGATCTGTGAAACTGTCGCCACTTTCGAGGCCTGCTGGGGGGCCCAGCACAGTGGGCACCCACGGCGGATTCAAATGGGACCTCGCCATCCCTGGGGGGCTGCGATCTGTGAAACTGTCGCCACTTTCGAGGGCTGCTGGGGGGCCCAGCACAGTGGGTACTCACGGCGGATTCAAATAGGACCTCGCCATCCCTGGGGGGCTGCGATCTGTGAAACTGTCGCCACTTTCGAGGGCTTCTGGGGGGCCCAGCACAGTGGGTACTCACGGCGGATTCAAATGGGACCTCGCCATCCCTGGGGGGCTGCGATCTGTGAAACTGTCGCCACGTTCGAGGGCTGCTGGGGGGCCCAGCACAGTGGGTACCCACGGCGGATTCAAATGGGACCTCGCCATCCCTGGGGGGCTGCGATCTGTGAAACTGTCGCCACTTTCGAGGGCTGCTGGGGGGCCCAGCACAGTGGGTACCCATGGCGGATTCAAATGGGACCTCGCCATCCCTGGGGAGCTGCGATCTGTGAAACTGTCGCCACTTTCGAGGGCTGCTGGGGGGCCCAGCACAGTGGGTACTCACGGTTGATTCAAATTAGACCTCACCATCCCTGGGGGGCTGCGATCTGTGAAACTGCAGCCACTTTCGAGGCTTGCTGGGGGGGCCAGCACAGTGGGTACTCACGGCGGATTCAAAGGCTGCTGGGGGCTGCGATCTGTGAAACTGTCGCCACTTTCGAGGGCTGCTGAGGGGCCCAGCACAGTGGGTACTCACCGCAGATTCAAATGGGACCTCGCCATCCCTGGGGGGCTGCGATCTGTGAAACTGTCGCCACTTTCGAGGGCTGCTGAGGGGCCCAACACAGTGGGTACTCACCGCAGACTCAAATGGGACCTCGCCATCCCTGGGGGCTGCGATCTGTGAAACTGTCGCCGCTTTCGAGAGCTGCTGAGGGGCCCAGCACAGTGGGTACTCACCGCAGACTCAAATGGGACCTCGCCATCCCTGGGGGGCTGCGATCTGTGAAACTGTCGCCACTTTCGAGGGCTGCTGAGGGGCCCAGCACAGTGGGCTTCCCGCACGTCTTTCTCCTGCTCTTCGCTCCCGTCTCCCCATGTCCTCTTCGAGCCTGTAGCTGTTGCCCTTCTTTCTTGTATGGTTCTCCTGCGCATCATGCCATAGGCGCGTGTCCCAAGTAGCTTACATATCAAACAACGGATCCTGCAATTTGATTGTCCATGCAAGTTTCGGTCAACTCCTCGTTTCCCATGATACAAATGGGTTGGGTACGTCACAGGGTATTTGTTTTCGAGCCGGGCGTTTTAGTCAAGTTGCGGGCTCTGGGACCTGGGACCATCACATATCGATCCGGCTCGGAAAAGGGGTGGAGAGAGATGGGGTCTATAGGGCTCTGGTCGCAATCTTTGGCGATGCCTGATTTGTTTCGCGCCGTCGGGTCTCAGGGAAACCTGATCCTCGGCGATGCGGGCACAGGGAAATCAGACATGCGACGTCCTAATGTTTTAAATACGCGGTCCCCAGAAGTCCCGACCCTTTCCCGGGGACCGGTTTCGCGTCCTGCGTTGTTCTTTGACGGTCCCGAGGCCCGGTGAGGGCCCCCAGAGGCCGAAAAAATGGAAAAACCTCCCGTCATGATTTTTCCATTGCCCGAGGGGGTCTGGGCGCGGGGAGGTGGGGGTCCGCAGCCGCTTCGCCCCCAGGGGCCGCCAGGGGAGCGGGAGCGGAAGCTACCTGATTTACGTTGACGACGCGAGCATGTCTGGGTTCGGCGTGGGGTCTACCGGGCGAGGGCGGGAAGGGAGAAGGGGCGGGCCTTCTCAGCAGGCTCAGCAGTCCCCCGGCCTTCCGAGAAGTTTCCTAACTCTGGGCCTTCCCGCGGAAGGCGCAGCAAGCCTCTCGGAAGGCCCGAGGGCTTCCGAGAAGCCCCGCCGCCTCTTGAGAAGGCGATCTCCTCCTCCTCCTTCTCCTCCTCCTCCTCCTCCTCCTCCTCCTCCTCCTCCTCCTCCTCCTCCTACTCCCCGTCCTCCTCCTCCTCCTCCTCCTCCTCCTCCTCCTCCTCCTCCTCCTCCTCCTCCTCCCCCTCATGATTACTTGCTCTCCTCTCTCCCCTTCTCCCTTCCCCCTCCTCTCTTCCTCCTCGTTTCCGGGGCGCTCTTCCTCCTCGCCCCCGCCCCCCAGACATCTGGCTGCTCCAGTTTTTGTTGGTGCGTGGGCCCCGGAGGTCCGGACCACTTCCCCGGGACCGGTTTCTCGTCCTGAGTCGTTCTTTGACGCTGCCGAGGCCCGGCGAGGGCCCCCGGAGGCCGAAAACGGCCAAAAACCGCCCGCTCCAATTTTGTTTGGAGCGTCGGATCTCAGGGCTTCTCGCTTCCCCCCCTCGCTCGCCGCCAGGGGGAGTGGACAGACGCCTTCTGCGCGAGGTTTAGGTCGTGCATGTCCTCCTACAGATGGATGTTTGACAACAACTATACAAACATACAACAAAAAACATATATTCCAAAAATAAAAGAATAGTAAAACATCGTCCCCTGGCTATTTTTAAACTATGTTTGAATCGTGCCCTTGGCCCAAAAGGGGGTCCAGCGACAAGGGGGTGGTGAAATAGATTTGGTGCAATAGATGTGTGGGGTTGCAAGAACATCTGGGGTGTGCAATACACTTCGGGGCGCAAATGTATTGCTGCATCTCCGCGTGAGTTACACGACTTGCAGTACAATGCAAGACTATTCTCCAGCGCCATACGTTTGCAATACAGTTGCCTCAAATCTATTGCACCACCCCCTTTCAGCTCGACCCCCTTCCTGAGATCCGATGTCGTGATTTTTTCAATGCGGGGTTCCCGGAAGTTTCGACCCATTCCTCAGGACCGGTTTTTCATCCTGAGCAGTTTTTTGACGGTCCCCAGGCCCGGCGAGGACCCCAAGGGGCCGAAATTTGCGAAAGACCTCCGTCTTGATTTTTTCAATGCGCTGGATCTCTGGGTTTGAGCCACCCAAAGTTCAGGAGGGAAAGAAACACACAGACACAATTGATCGGCGATTCCCAGAAACATATGGGAAAACATGGGAAGTGGGGGGGAAGACAAAAACCCAGAAACTATGGGAAAAGATGGGGAATCTTTTTGTTTGTGTGTATTTATCTGTGTGTCCCAGGGCCCCTTCAAAAGTGCACGGACGCCTCGGGCGCGAGGTCTACCGCGGCCAGCTGCGGGGCCGCGCCGTGGCGGTGAAGGTGCAGCGCCCGGGCGTGCGGCGGGCCGCCGCCGCGGACGCCGCGCTGCTGCGGCTCCTGGCGCGCGGCGTCGCGTCGCTGCGGTGGCCTGGCGCGGCGGGGGGCGGGCGCCTGGTGCGCCGGGGGGGCGCCCCACGCGGTCCGAGGAGGAAAGGGCACCCAGACCCAGACCTCTCTTCCCCCTCGCCCATTTTCCTCCTTTTTGGGCCTCCTGGGAGGCCCTCGTCGTCACCGCTGGATGCGCTTCGAGATTCTGGTCAGAAGGCACCCCGGGAGAGGTCCGGGGAGTAGCGGTATCGGTACCTTTTGGTTTCCCCAGGGGGGGCGCCCAACACAGCAAATCCATCTCAGAGGAGGAAAGGCCCAGGCCCCCTCGTGCTGTGATAAAAGTCACGACGGGAATTGTTTCGTTCGTTTCGGCCTCGTGGGGCCCTTGCCGGCCCTCGGGCCCCTTCATAAAGTCGGAATGAGAAATTTGTCCTGGGGAATGGGTCGAGACCTTTGTGGGTCGACGTCAGGAAAAAGTTATGACGTCGGGGAACTGGCGGTACCGATACTCCTACTCTTGCCTCGTTTTCCCTTTCTGGGTTCTCTTGGGAGGCCCTCCTCATCGCCACCGCTGGATTCGCCTCGAAGTCTTGGCCAGAAAGCGCCCCAGGAGAGGACCATGGAGCAGTGGTATCGGTACCTTTTCGTATCCCCATCATCACCATCATTATCGCCATCATCACCATCATTGTCACCTCCATCATCGTGACCAAAGTCACCATCATCATCATCCTCATCATCACAGTCATCATCATCAGCATCATCAACAGCATCATCATCATCCTTATCCTTATCATCATCACCATCGCCATCGCCATCACCATCGCCATCGCCATCGCCATCCATATAGTCACCATCATCACCGCCAGCACTATGATCATCCCATTCATCATCGTCGTCATCCTCCTCATCATCATCACCATGGCGTCACCAGCACCACCATCACCACCACCACCACCACCTACAGCAGCCTCATCCTCATTCTTCTTTCATCCTGCGCCAGTAGCCCTGGCTCGGCGCGCGGCGGTCGCCCCGCCTGGTGCATCGGGAGCGTCCAGCCTCAGGTCGTGGCATTGCATCCTCGCTCAGCGGGAGGCTTGGCCTTGTGTCGGGCCTCGAGACCCTCGCAGATCGATCCAGCCAAAGTTAGGTCGCTGCATGCGGTTTTTGATGAAATATCAAGAATTCCCCAAACATATTCAAACATAGAAACAAAATCGTCTCCGTAGAGGGACAGGCCCGACTTGAGGCTAAAGAATGGCGCAGGAATATGGGGTCTGGGCTACTGGTCGCGTTTGTTTATGATGTTCACTCTTTTCGCGCCCGGGCGCTGCATTATGATGTTCCAACCTACTTTAGCTTTGCGCACCTGGAAAAAATCGAGTACTAGTGAAGTACCGAAACTCAAGGGTTTTCACGTGCCAGGCCCTGGGACACCCTCGTTCGACACTGTTCCGACACTGTTCTGACACCGTTTCGACACTTTTCTGGGTGCTCGAAATTGTTTCTGGGATGTGGTCCGTAAGTGCGATGGGAGCAACATGCGCGTTGCAGAACAACAGTTTGGCGCCCCGTGGCTGCGTCATCTGCAGCCACTGGAGGCCGTGTCCCCGCCTATGGGGCCGCGAGGCAACGTCGCAGGATGGAGCGCTCTGGCGCCGACGTCGCGGAGAATTCACAAGAGTTCCAACCAAATGCATGTTGCGATGCGTTGTGTTTTTTGTGGCACCTGGCGTGTTCGCCCGGAGTTGGGACTCGAGCGCTGCCGCAGGAAGACGGGGTCCAGGGCTCTGGCCGCGATTTTTCGCGATGCTGCACTTTGCTTCGCGACGCCGGATCTGAGCGCCAGACGTCCCCGCGTTGCGCGAGAAAGCACGACGGTTTTTTGTTGTGTGGTCGTGCTCGACGTCCTGAGTCCCTCGCCGGGCCCTGGGGACCGTCAGTGCTACCCCAGCAGGCCACCCCAGTCGCAGCAAAGGTGAAGAGGCGGGTCGAGGAGCCGGAGGTCGGTTGTAGGTTGACAGGGGTGGGAGCACGGCCATACGCCTCTTGGTGTGTTTTTTTCTCCACAATCGGGTCGACCCAAAGGGGTTCCAGCGACGAGGGGATGGTGCAGTAGATTTGGTGCCATATATTTGTGGGGTTGCAAGAACATCTGGGGCGTGCAATACACTCCAGGGGGGCAAATGTATTGCTGGGCTTCCACGCGCAATCTACTACTTGCAATACAATGCAACACGCTCCTCCGGCGCAAAATGCTTGCAACACAACTGCCCCGGATCTATTGCACCACCCCCTTTCAGCTGGACCCCCTCTTCGGTCACCCCAACACGCCCTCGTGGCCGTCCGGACCAAGCATACAGAGAGCAGTGAGGCGAGAGCGCGGTCTCTGAGCAGAGTGCGAGGAGGTCCATGGCGAAGTGGCGGCCAGGCCGCCTTCGGGCCAGGCGGTCTCGGGTTCCCCGTCCCCCTCGTGGGGCTTCCTCTGTTTTTTTTTTTGTTCGCTCTACCTTGTCAGTCGAGGCTGTCCTCCTACAGGGGGATCTTGAACGAAAAGTGAAGAAGAGGCAACCGATACCCCGAAATGGTCAACAAATCTTCCAAACATCGTCCCCAGACCCTTTTCTGACTAGTTTGGAACATTCCTCCTGTAGAGGGACAGGCCCGACTTAATTCTACCTATGTGAAGTTCCCTCTCCAGCGTCGAGCGAGGCGCTCCTCGGGAGTGAAGAGATCGCGGGCGGGGGCAGGGGGCAGCCCTGCCCGAGATCCGGGCGCGGTGACCTCTTCGCACCGCGCGTGTTCGCCCGGCGTCGGAGCCCAGATCTTGTAGCCGCGATACGGATCGCTCAGGAGAGCACGAACAATGCTCAGGAGGGACAAACACACACAGGCACAATTAATTGTCGATCCCCAGGAAGATATGGGAAAATATGGGAAGTGGGGGGGAAAACAAAAGCTCAGAAAATATAGGGAAATAAAGGGAGTCCTGTTATTTGTGTGTGTGTTTATTTGTGTGTCCTGGGCCCCCTTCAAATGCCGCGGAACAGATGGGGGTCTTGGGCTCTGATCATGATGTTGTGCGGCGGTGCACAGTGGCGGGGAAGGTACCGATGCCGCTGCATCCCCTCGGCTTGCTTTCTGGGGCTACCGCCCTCGTCGCCCCGGCTGGACTCGCCTCGGACATCTGGTCTGAGAGCACCCGAGGAGTGGCCCAGGGAGCAGCGGTTTTAGGTTCCTCTGGGTTCCCTTTCGTCACGCAAGCATCACGACAGAAGACGGAAGTTTTCTGACAGTTTTCGGCCTGGCCTTCGCCCGACCCCAGGACTGTCATAAAACAAGGTTCGGGATCAAACGTCGGCCCCGGGGACAGGTTCGGGACGTTCAGGGACCCCGAACGGGAAGAATCGAGGCATCGGGCCGGGGGTCCAAATGTTTTCGCCAGTTTCTGGGCCCCAGAGGCCCCAGAACCCGCACATATTGGCTCAAGCAGAAGGGTGAGGTCTGGGGCTCCTGTCATTGTTCGTGGTGTTGACGTTGCATTTCCTCGTAGCATGGAGTCCCAAGGAGGGATGGAGGGAGGGAGGGAGGAGAGGAGGAGGAGGAGGAGGAGGAGGAGGAGGAGGAGGAGGAGGAAGAGGAGGAGAAGGAGGAGGAGGAGGAGGAGTGGGAGGAGGAGAAGGAGGAGGAGGAGGAGGAGGATCTGCGGTCTCGCTGGCCCGAACAACAGGATGGGCTCTGGGGCTCTCCTGTCCCTGTTCGTGACGTTGCATTTTTGTTCGCGACCTGGAGTCTCAGGGTATCCATACCTACGGTTAAGTCGGGCCTGTCCCTCCACAGGAGGAATATTCAAAAAGAGTAAAACAATAGTGTGGGGCGACGATTTGTTTTTAGTATGCTTGGCTATTGGGGGGGGGTACTGTCCAAGTATTTTTAATTCTTCCCCCGAAATCCGCCTGTAGGGGGACGTGCCTGACCTAAACCTACGTCCCCCCGGGCCGTGGCCCCGCGGAGGCGGGGCGTTTCTGTTTGTTGTTTGCGGATGCTCCTCGCGCGTGGCGCTCTTGTTCCAGGCGCCCGCCGCAGCCACAGGATCGCGCCCCATGAAATCTGGGCCGCGGTGGCGTGGAGGAGAGGAGGAGGAGGAGGTGGAGGAGGGTGGCGACGAGAGGAGGAGGAGGAGGAGGAGGAGGAGGAGGAGGAGGAGGAGGAGGAGGTGGAGGAGGAGGAGGAGGAGAAGGAGGAAGGAGGAGGAGGGTGGCGACGGGCGAAGGGGAGGAGGAGGAGGAGGAGGAGGAGGAGGAGGAGGAGAAGAAGGGGGAGGAGGGGGGTGGCGACGAGAGGAGGAGGAGGAGGAGGAGGAGGAGGAGGAGGAGAAGGAGGAGGAGGATCGCCACCCTCCTGGATCCTTCTCCTATTCCGCCATGTTCGCCGCCTGTGATCGGGCGGTGGCCGCGCCGTGCGGTTCATTTGTGAACGGCGATGCGGGGTGGCCGCACCGTCTCGGGACCGGGGCGCTTCTCCCAGAGGACGTCTCTGGCGGCGGGGGCCTCTGGGGTCGCACAGCGAGGCAAGGAGCTCCACGGCCATCACCGGGATTCCGCGAGATCTTGTCGATAACGATCTTGGTCATGGTGCTCAAAAAAGGTGCCCATGCCTCTACCCTTTCCTCGTTCTCCCCTTTTTGGGCCGCGAGTAACGAAAAAAAGGGATCCTGCCAACGCACCGGTTGCGGAAACCCTCAGGTGCGCGCGGACCTCGTGGGGGCGGTGGACGAGTTCTGCTCGCGGCTCTTCGAGGAGCTGGACTACGCCCGCGAGGCCGACAACCTGCAGCGGCTCCCGGAGGGGCGGCGAAGAGAACGCGCGGCACTGGCACACGGACTTTCCCGAGGAGCCCGCGGGGATCTCTCGGATCGGCATCGCGGGACCCCCCTTGATGGGCCCTGTTTTGCACCACCACCACCACCACCACCACCATAAGTTGGAGGGGGAGGGGGTCCCCCTCCTGCTCCTCCTCCTCCTCCTCCTCCTCCTCCTCCTCCTCCTCCTCCTCCTCCTCCTCCTCTTCCTCCCTCCTCGTCCTCCTCCTCCTCCTCCTTCCCCCCTCCAACTTGTGGTGGTGGTGGTGGAAGACAGGCCCATCACCCCCGGCGGAGCCTCCGGCGCCGCCCCTGGCGCGCCAGCGAGGAGCGGCAGGGCAGGAAGCGGCATGCAGGCCCCGGCTCTTGCAGCAGCGAGGGCGCGGGCCAGACGACGGGCTGACGAGCGAGCGACGACCGAAATGACACGCCAGTCGTTGAGAGCAGCTAGATCTGGATCCACACGCCCCAGTCTACTTCATCGAACAAAAAAAAACGCTACAAACATCAACTTGTGGCGCTCCGCGCGGATCTTTTGGATCCGCGCTGGGCCCCCCAGCGGCGCCTCCGGCGCCGCCCATGGCGCGCTCCGCGCGCCAGGGAGGGGGTCCAGCGCAGATCCAAGGATTCCGCGCGGAGCCCCAAATGTCTATGTTTATGCAGTTTTTGTTGTTCGTCTTCTTCTTCTGCTACAAGCGCCTTCCTACTTCAAGAATCGATGCTGTTACTTGCTGCTTGTTATCGTTTGGATGGGCCCGGACTTACTTTGCTTTGTCCGTCTTCCTACTTCATGTTTATTAATGCGCCAGAGAAAAAACATGTCATGTGTGGAGCTCCGCGCGGATCTCTCGGACTGGCGCTGGGACATCTCCTCCCATGCGACGCCTTCGGTGTCGCCCCCGGCGCTGAACGCGCCAGGGAAGAGTGCCCTCGCGCTGATCCGAGGCATCCGCGTGGGCCTTGGAAGTTTGCTCTGGCACGACACGTAAGACATCGGCCCGCCAGAGGGTGCCCTCCGATGGCCCTCGGCGGCTGAGAGATGCCCTGGGGCACCGCAGGAAGCTCAACACTCGAAGGCAACGGTGGTCACCAAGCGCGTTCCACTACTTGCAAAATGCCTATTCGCAAACGTCCGAAAACCATATGTTTGCTTCGAGGAGATTTATCTTAATCCTCCGCGGTGGATCGAGGCCATTTGCGAGTAATTACTTTGCGAGTAGTGGAGCGCGCTCGTCTATGTGGCCTGTAGTCTGTTTCGCAGCAAGATCGATTACCGTACGAGCCAGCAGCCTGCAGACTCGTCGTCGACGACGACGCCTCTGACTCTGTTTCTGCGGTGTCGGTCCCTGGGGCCGTGTGGACAACGAGTAGACAGCGGCGAAACCCCGCTGCCAGGGATGACGTCGACGCGTTCGGGGTCGTCGTCGCCGTCGCCGTCGCCGTCGCCGTCGCCGTCGCCGTCGCCGTCGCCGTCGCCGTCGCCGTCGCCGTCGCCGTCGTCGTCGTCGTCGTCGTCGTCGTCGTCGTCGTCACCGTGGTCGTCGTCGTCGTTGTCGTCGTCGTCGTCGTCGTCGTTGTCGCCGCCTCGTCGCCGCCTCGTCGCCGTCGTCGTCGTCACTGTTGTCCTCGTCCTCGTCCTCGTCCTCGTCGCCGCCGTGGCCGTTCTCGCCGTCGAAGGCCGTCGTCGTCGCGCCCAGGTTCGACGCGCTCTACGGCGAGGGCGGCGTGCACGCGCGGCTCTTCCCCGCCCCGGGCGTCCGCGTGCCCCGCCTCGAGCGCGAGTTCTGCTCGCGGCGCGTGCTCGTGATGGCGGGCGGTGCCACTCGGCGGGGGCCCCCGGGAGAGGTCGCCAGGCAGGGCTCGAGCGAAACGGTGTTTTTTGGCAATCTCGTGGACCGTCTTCGTGTTGACGTAGTTTTGCAGCAAGTGTGGGACGAAGGCAGAACCAGGGATGACGAAGACAAAACGAAAACGGGAAACACTGCTTATCTCGAGCTCTTTCGCCATGGCCTCCCGAGGATCGATTCTCCAGGATCGCAGCTCGAGGAGTTCTTGGGGGTCGTTTGCGGTTTGGAGGCGGCCGGTGGTGCGAGGTGGCCCAGCACATTGGCCTCGGCAAGCAGGAGGGGAGGGCAAGGGTCGAGGTGCTGGGCTCGGGGAGGTGTTTCGCCTGTTCTTCCGTTCTCTGGGGGTCGGCTTCGGGCTCCGGGGCCGCCAGCGACGGGTCCAGCGTGACGAGGGTGAAAAGCTGCACCAGATGGACCCTGGGAGGGGGCTGGAGTTAAGTCGGGCCTGTCCCTCTCTCAAGGAGGGGTATTCAAAAGTAGTCAAAAAATAGTCTGGGGACGATTTGTTGAGCATCTTTTTTGCTATTTTTGAACATGTTTGAGCTATTTCTATTTTTCCTCCAGAATCTACCTGTAGAGAGACATACCCGACCGAAGGCCAGGGAGAGGCAGCATTTTCTCGAGGAGGTGGCGATCCCTCAGTGCTGACAACCCTTGGCATCGCCTGGTGATGGAGTGGGTCGACGGGGAGCGGCTGATGGGGAGCGTCCTGGACCGCTCCGGCACGGAGCTGTCCAGCGAGGATCGGGCTGGCCGAAGTCAAAGAAGAAAAAACGGTATGAACATAGACTGGATCCGCGCTGGGGCCCTCAGGCGGCGCCTAGGGCGCCGCCCCTGGCGCGCTCCGCGCGCCAGGGAGGGGGGTCTGGCGCATAATCAAGAATTCCGCGCGCAGCGTCGAAAGTTTATGTTCATGCTATTTGTTCTTCCTTTCGACAGGGTAGGATCGGGAAAGGGGGTTTACGAAAACTGTTGCGTGCAGCTGGTTTCCGCCCTGCCGCCGTGCCCATTTCTCGATGCATGAGCGCCTCCGGGCGCCAGGAGGCGCCAGGAAAGCCCGCTGCGCGAGGTGATTCTCTACCCAGCCCTCTGCCGTATCCTGCCCTTCCGTGTCCCCCCAGAGGACCTGCCGCTGGTCGAGCTCGGCATCACGGTGACGCTGGTGCAGCTGCTCGAGATCGGCGTCATGCACACGGACCCCCACGGGGGCAACCTCCTCAAGAGCCGCGTGGCCCCCGCGGCGGGCGCCCTCTCCCCCCGGAGGTGGTGGCCTCTGCGGCGGGTGCCCTCGGAAGAAGTCGCCCATCGCTACCAGCTGCTCTACCTTGACTTTGGCCTCGTCGCGGACATCCCCCTGCAGGTCCTGACCAGCCTCGAACTTATCCCTATCCCTGAGATTGAGAACCTCAAAGGCGGTGACAACCCTAGGGATTCGCCCTCAGAAACTGAAGGAGTCCTTGAGATTGGCGTCGAGACGAGGCGATGCCAATCATAGGGGTAGAGACATGTTTCTGGCTGGGGAGGTCCGGGAGGGCCTGGTGTGCGCGGTGATGTACATGGTCCAGAGGCGCTACAGCCGCGTGGCCCTGCTCTTCAACCAGCTCATGTTGCTCCCCGACTGGGTCCTGGCCGACGCGGACACGCTGGAACAGTTCACCGCCGACGTCGAGGAGGCGGCCGACAAGACGCTGGTCTTCCCCGCCAACGGCAGCGGTCAAGTTTTTTCGGCAGACGAGGTTCGAAGCGGGAAAACTGTATCAGCGTAGAGTTTCGGAGGTCCGCGCGGAACTCTTGGCTCGCATCTGGATTCCCCCTCCACCGCGTCTCCTTGGCGCCGCGTGCGCGGAGCCACCTGAGTGCCGCTTGCCCCGTGACCACTGAACCTCCCCTTCCTGGCGCCGCCCGGGGGGGGGGTCAGCGCCGATCCGAGAAGTCAGAGCGGGCCCGCGACAGTTTCCGCCTGCGCGCCGCCCTCCTCCCCCCGACGGAGGTCCCCACCCTCAAGTTTGCCGCCCTGCTCGAGCAGCTGGCCCTGTTGGCTCCGAGGTACGAGTTCCAGCTGCCCCCGTACTTCCTGAACAACGCGCGGGCGCTGGGCTGCCTCGAGGGAATGGCTCGGGCTGCGGACCCGGGCTTCAACATACTGGGCCAGATGTACCCCTGGGCGCTGCGCCGGCTCCTGTCGAATCCGACGCGGTCGCCGGTGATAACAGGGGAGCAACAAGTGGCATAGACATAAAAACTCGGAGGTCCGCGCGGATTTCTCGGATCGGCGCTGGACCCCCCTCCCTGGCGCGCGGAGCGCGCCAGGGGCGGCGCCGGAGGCGCCGCCGGGGGGCCCCAGCGCCGATCCGAGAAATCCGCGCGGATCGTTGAGTTTTTATGTTTATGTCACTTTTGATTCCCCTAGATAACGCGCACGCTGCACGACCTCGTCGCCGACCCAGCTCGCCCAGGGCGCCTGTCTGCGCGCGCGGCGCTCGACCTCCTGGGCTCCGCGGCGGCGCTGCGGGGGCTGTCGCGCCGGGCGGCCGCCCTGGACGTGCTCAGGTTCCCCGAGGGGCGCGCGCTTGCGGCAGGGGTCGCGCGGGACGAGGTCTGTCGCCTGCTGAGGCTCACGTGACGTTGCGGACGGATAATCCAGTACCAGGGCTCGAGCTGAACGGGGCCTGGGCGATTTGTTGGACCGTTTTCGTCGTTTTGAGTTCGTTTCGCAGCAAAGGCAACAAGAGGACAGAGGGAAGGAAAACGAAGACACACCGAAAATGAGAAACACTGTTTAGCCCGAGCCCTGGCCAGCACATCTGCGTGCCCAAGCGAGCTGCGCTGGGGCTCCCGAGGGGCTTGTGCCCTCGCCCTGCGTCCGACCCTCAGATATCTGTGCGACACCAAAAAGAAATCGCGACGACTGTGTTTTCGTTGTGCAAGCGCTGTTTGGGAATCGGTAGCAAACGTCGTCGTCGTCGTCGTCGTTGTTTCCTCCCTGCCTCCTCTCCTACCTTCCCCCTGTCCCGGTAGCAGAGGGAGGTGTAACAGCAGAACAGGGAGTGTGCGGACGATGGGAAAAACGTGCATGTTTTCCTGCTGTCGGACTCTGGAGGCCATTCCCCCAACCAGGGGCTGTTCAACCATTGAAAGCCTTGGGGAAGTGGTCGGAGGCCCGTAGCGCCGACACCGCGAGAAAGGTGCAGCGGCAGAGGAGAGGGCTGTGGCCAACCTTCTGACCGCACACCGTGCCAGGGCCCAGGGCCACCGCCGCCCAGACACCGGACGCCGTGCTTCTGTTTGCGACGTGCACCCTAGGAGGTCTGGACCCCTGCCTCGGGACCAGCTTCTCACCCGGAGTCGTTTTTGGTCCTGGGGCCTGGCGAGGGCTCCCCCGAACCCGAACGCCTGACCAAAAGCAGCGAACGAACGAACCAAGCAACCATACGCCAAAAGCGCGTGGGCAAGGACAGGCAGAGCGACACGCCAAAGGCGTGCAATCAAAGGTTACGTCAAGCAGCCTGCCAAAGTACAGAGACACGAAATTCAACATAGTAATACAAAGCGCCCGACTGTGAAGCAGAAACAGAAAAAGCAGAGCGCCCCACGACCATGACCAAGAGCAGCCCGTCGCGTTTTTGTTTAACAGCGCCAGGGTATCTGCGCACCGGTGCACAGATGCCCTCCGCGCACCGCCCAGTTAGACCTTCGTTCAGGGGGGGCCGTCCTGGGGCCCATCCCAAGGATCTGTTCGGCTCTGCTTCGACTCCAGCGCGATTGAAGTTGGACTGGAGTTCGACTCAGCTTGAACTCGAGCCGTTCGACGGAGCATCGACGCATGGGTGGAGCGAGTGCCTCCAGGAAGGCCCGCAGAACGACCATCCGAGCCTGGGCATCTCAGTCGCGGCCCGGCGGACCCCCGAGCGAGCTCCACAAATCAGGGCGCCAGAGACGGGGGCACAGTGAGCGGGGGCAGGGGGAACGCCGATCTCCACGTTTGGCTATGCCCCCGTTTAGGGGGCCCTGGACGCGCTATAGACGGGGGCACAGCACACGGGGGCATCTGAAAAAGCCTGAGCCCCCGTGTAGCTAAACCCCCGTTTGGGAAGCCACGAGCAAAATAATGCATGTGCAAACGCAGAACTTCCCATTTTTGTAAGCGCCCTCGTGCGCCCGCTCGGTGGTCGCCGATTTTGTTTCGTTGTCTTTGCGCAGCCTGCCTTTGAAGCATGCAGCATGCATGCTCAAGGCCGCGAACCGTGTAAGCAAGCGGTCTTTCGAAGACGAAAAACTGCATAGGCATAAGCTTAAGTCGGGCCTGTCCCTCTACAGGGGGAATACTCCAAAATAGTGAAAATAGTCTGGGGACGATTTTTGTTTTTTTTTGTTTTTGCAATTTTGGAATGCGTTTGGTTATGTTTTTTTTTGCTCGGCCAAAACCCTCCTGTAGGGGGGCACGCCCGACCTAAGCATAAACTTTTGGAGCTCCACGCCCTTTTGCGCTGAGCGCGCCAGGGGCGGCGCCGGGGGCGCCGCCAGGGGGCCCCAGCGCAGATCCAAGAATCCCGCGAGGACCGTCGAAGGTTTATGTTTACACCACGTGTCTTTCTCTGTTGTGCTACTGACAGCGGCGATGACAATGAGGATGAGATCGAAGAAGAAACAGCTGAATTAGCAAGCACTTTCGACGCTCCGCGCTGCTTCCTTGGATCGGCGCTGGGCGCCCTCTGACGGCGCCTCCGGCGCCGTCCCTTGCGCGCCCATTGCGCCAGGGAGCGGGGGTCCAGCGCCGATCCGAGCAATCCGGTGCGAACCTCTGAGGATTCGGTCCCGAGTCCAAAGTGGGTGTCTTGTGTTCTTTGCGCAATCTCCGCGCAGTCCTCACGCACCTCACCTCACACCCCCCTTCCTCCTCACCATGTTCTCGCACTCACCATTGCCGTCATCGTCGTCATCGTCATCATCATCATCAACATCATCATCATCATCATCCTCATCATCATAACCATCGCGCCATCATCATCACTACCAACATCCCAGGATGACCATCGGTCATCATCATCATCAGCAGCATCATCATCATCATCATCACCATCATCATCATCATCATCAGCAGCATCGTCATCATCAGCATCGTCATCATCATCATCATCCGTCCACCATGTTTTCACACTCGCCATCACCACACTCATTATCCTTCATCACTACCATCAACACTTTCAAATTACCGTCAGCAGCAACAGCATAAGCATCAGCATCAACATCATTATCACCATTACCACCATCATCGTCATCTCATAATCACCATCATCTTCATAATCATCGTCATCGCCATCATCAGCATCGTCATCATCACCGTCTTCGATGTCGTCATCATCAGCATCATCACCACCATCATCATCATCATCATCATCATCATCATTATCATCATCAGCATCATCATCTGCAGCATGATCATGATCACACATGCACTCATCTTAGGAAGTATCAGGCGGGAGCCTCGTGTGTGAGTGAACTGCGAGGAACTCTCAGGTGGGAGCCCCCTCCCGAAGGGTGCGCAGATCACGTTGTCAATCTGAGCGGGTCATCGGTAACCAGTAATTGACATCAATGTTGTGCTCCTCAAGTCTTGAAGATGGCAGAAGTCTCGAGCGAGAGCCTCGAAGGTGAGTGAGTTGCCAGGAAGTCTCAGGCGGGAGCCCCCTGCTTGTGGGTCCAGAGGATCATGTTATTGATCCGAGTGTGTCTTCGCAAGCTTGTAATTGTCGTATATGTTGGGCTCCTCTGTCCTGAAGATGGCGGAAGTCTCGAGCGGGAGCCTCGTGTGTGTGTGTGTGTGGAGTGAATTGTGGGGACGTTTCAGGTGGGAGCCCCCTCCCTGTAGTACGGGGCCCGCAGATCATGCTCTTAATCCGAGCGGGCCCTCGGAACCTTGTACCTGTCATCACAGTTGAGCTCCTCAGTCATGAATATGGCGAAAGTCTTGGCAAGGGGTCTTGCCAGTGAGTGTACTGCAAGGAAGTCTCAGGTGGGAGCCCGCTCCCGATGGGGTCCGCAGACCATGTTGTTAACCCGAGCAGGTCATCGGAAGCTTGTAACCATCGTCAGTTTTGGCCTCCTCATTCCTGAATGCTGGATTCTCGTGTGTAAGTGAATGGCGAGGAAGTCTCAGGCGAAAGCCCCCTCCCTGTGGGGCCCGCAGATCATGATATTTATCCGAGCGGGCCATCGGAACTTTATAACTATCCTCGCTGCTGGCCTCGTGATGCTGGAGTATCTCGGAAGCCTCAGGCGGGAGCCCTCCTTGTGAGGCTCGTGCCTCATGTTGCCAGTCCGAGCGGGTCATCGGAGACCTGTAACTGTCTTTTAGTGTTTGCCTCTCGAACCTTGGATTTGGCGGATGCCTCGAGCGGGAGCCTCGTGTGGGAGTGAATGGCCAGGAAGCGCACGTGGGCCGCCCTCGCGTGAGAGTTTTTGGGACGCGGGTCGCCGGTTTCCTCGCGGAGGGCGTGCAGGGAGTTCGACGAGAGCTGGGAGATCCAGGGCTGAGGCGGAGCAGCACCGCCCACCAAACCACCCCAACCCAACCCGAAGGCCCAGATTTGCCCTCCATTTCCAGTGGGGGGGGGGTCGCTGAACATCGAAAAAACACGTATGGAACCCTTACCCCACCCAACCCGAAATTCGGGCCTTCGGGTTGGGTTGGGGTGGTCTGGTAGGTAGTCAGAGCAGCTCGCGACAGAGCTGGGTTTCGTTCTGTCTCCTGCCTGAGCGCGGCCGCGAGTAGCCCGAGACGTTGCGGGATGGTCCCCACGGCTTGCTCCCGCGCCCCAGCGGTTTGTGGGGTGGTCCCGACCGCCTGGCCCACGGGGTTGTCGCTCCGCGATCTGGCCATCTGAAAACGCGCCCGTGCCGGCCGTGGCGGCAATGCGCCAATGAGTATTGATGTGCGCGTCCTTGCTAAAAGGGGCCGGGGGGAGGTGGATTGGGCAGACAGGACCTCTGCACTCACAGATACGACGATGAGATTTGTTTCCGGACTCGTTCGGGTAATTTTTATCCAGGGTCTTTCCGCCAGAGAAGTGGTCATGTTTTTGTTGCCCCCCCCCCCCATGAGCGCACTCTGCACCTTTGAATCTGCATTGCTTTTGAGGCGCCCCGCGCGGCCGCCGTCGTCCTTGCCCATCTCTTGCGCACAGGCCCATTCGCCGTTCGGTTGCCCCGAAGTGCCACGCGCTGGAGCGGAATGCGTTTGCCCCGCCGCCGATGGATAAACAAAAGGTTGGGCCAGGTTGCCCTCACCGTGCCGCGCTCGCCGCGCCGCGCCGCTGCGGCTCCGAGGGCCGGCGGCGCCCCCGCCGCGGCCCACGGGGGGGGGGCGGCCCGCCTCGCGCCTGCTGCGGTCGAGGCCGGCCCCGGCCCAGACCTCAGAGAGGTCCAGCTCCGACTGCCGGCCTCCTCCTCTTACTTCTCCTCCTCCTCCTCCTCCTCTTCCTCCTCCTCCCCGTCCTCCTCCTCCTCCTCCTCCTCCTCCTCCTCGTCCTCCTCCTTGTCCTTGTCCTCCTCCTCCTCCTCCTCCTCTTCTTCTTTACATTCCCCCTCCTCCTCTTCCTCCTCCTCATCCTCCTCCTCCTCCTCTTCCTCCTCCTCCTCCTCGTCGTCGTCCTCCTCCTCCTCCTCTTTGCGCAAAGGGCGCCCCAGCCGAAACTCCTCCTTTCTGCACTGCGGGGTCGTAGCCTTGCGTGCGCCTGCCCGCGGAGGCGGCCGGGAGCGGCCGTCGGAAGCGTGGTGTCCTTGCGGTCTGGGTGAGGGCGTGCTGCCCGCAGGCCAGAGGGGGCTCAAGCGCTTTGTCCTACCACGTTCCGCGAGTTTCGGAGAGCGAGCCCAAACTCGGATGTTTTTGCACCTGTTGGGGCGCCCTGCCGGCCACGGCTGCATTCCCCTCGAGCTCGTGGCCAGACCTTGCCCCGGGACGGGCCCCCTCTGATCCGATCGCCTCGATGTCGAGCTAGGCCATCCCAGTCTGACTCGGCTCCGAGCTTCCGGTTCGATTTCGATGCTGTTCGGATGTTTGCGTGGCGCTGCTGTCTGGCGCGGCCGATCCGATTCGGTTCCGACTCCGTGCCGATGCGGCCGGCGCGGTTGCTGCGGTGGAGGCCACCCCAGAGCTAGGGGGCCACATGCGAGCCCGACCCCTGCCCCCCACGATTTCTGATGGGGAGGGTGGGGGGTAGGGGTAGGGCTCGCATGTGGCCCCCTAAGAGTGCCTCGCGCCACGAAGTCCAAATCCAGAGGAGCGAATCTCGAGGCCGAAGGTTTTCGCGCGCTTCTGGGCTGCTGGGGCGCTCTCCCGGCCACGGCCGGAGCCCCTTCGAGGTCGTACCCCGGGGTGCACACCAGGACTGCTCAGCTGCGCGCGCCCTGGCAGCGCGTCGCGAGGCGCACGGCACGCGCGGAGCTCACACGCGCGTCTCTCCAGGCGTGGGGCGCGAGTTCCGTCCGAGCGAGCGGTGTTTGGGTCTTCCGGAGTGCCACCGCCTTTGCTTAACGGCGTCGTGCAATAG